GGAGCGAGGGTCGTAACCACGGTTGTGGTGGCCGCATTGACTGGTCGTACATCTTCCATCTTCATGACTGTCTGCTGCCTCTTTTTGCACATCTGTCAAGGTCAAAGTCGCTCATTCAAGGCAACACCAGCCACGCTGCAACAAGTATCTGGTCTCGTATTATTCCAATATCGGCGTACTAGGTGAATACTAGCTTTCTATGGAGCCTAATGCTCACAAAGCCTGACCAAATGACTGATAGAGTGTTGTTGGACTGTTGTCGTTCCAGATGGATATTGGGCTGACGATGCTATTTGTATTCTCCGTAGTTTTTTGGGCTACCGGCTTGCTGAAAATCGAATGACTTTATTAATCAATGGCCATGCAACTTTACCTTGTGGCCTGGGCTGTGAGCCTCTGGATTCGGTCCGAGGTGTGAGTGGTAGTGTATCTACAATTGACTTTGCAGAACTGGCGCCGTTGTGATATGGCTTCTTCACAATGGTGAAACTTGGCTGTATATTTCTATCCGATGCGTCGTTATATACGGTGTCCCTTGCAACTGTTCTTCATGTCGTCTCATATTTTAGGGCTACCTGTGAAGAATGTCCTCAAACCAGTCATATATGACTTGATTATGCTGCTTCAACGCGCCAATGCCTGAATGCGTCCCAATAGAATCCTTGTTCTTAAACTGATACAAAGTAGCCCACTTGCCAATCGCTTGGGCCAACTGCTGCGCTTGGCCCTTGAAGAAGATGTCACCTTCGGCATCGCCAATCAACGCGGGTGTTCGAATCTGGTGAGCCACCTTCGCCAGCGAAAATTTCTGCACCCTGGTGACAAATTCGAATGGCGAAGTCGTGTTGAACGCCCACATGCCTTGCTCGAGACCCCAGCGCAGGCGTGTGCGTACGCCTGGCTTCAGATACTGCTGAGCGAGCTGGTCGAATTTTGCCTTGTCACCCGAGTCGTAGATTTGCATGGCATCGGGCCCAAAGTCGTGGCGGATAACGGCGCCAAAGTCCCATACACCGTCCAGGGCCATGATTGCGGCGAAGCGATGATCGAAGGCGGCCGCGCGCGGGGCCATGTAGCCTCCTAGAGATAGGCCGTAAAGAGCGACGGCTGTCGGGTCGACCGACTTGGTCATGTTGAGGACATGGTCCAAGATGGGGGTGACGACTTTTTCCCACTCCGCGATGAAGCCCTTGTTTTGGTAACGACGTGGCGACGGCTGTCCAGGACCTTCATAGGTGAGGACATTGTAGCCTCGTTCGAGCGCAGCGACACCAGCGACGTGGTACATTTCCTCTTGAGATCCATCATAGCCGTTGCCCATGATGATGGTTGGCCGTTGCTTTACCTCATGGTCTGGCGTGATCCAGATACAGGGAATATCGAACTCCGGAGTCTTGATGGTGAGTCTTGCGCCAGGCGGCGAGAGCAGTGCGAGGCCCTGGTCAAACGCTTCCGTCTGTTTGGCCCAATAGTCCATAATTCGAGGGTCCGCCGGATTGCCATGGAGATAGAAATCAGCACTACGAAAGTACGTGGCGGCACTGAAGAATGCAGTTCGCGCCGAAATGGGAAACTTGGTTTTGGCGATGCTCAATCCTCGCTTATAGACTGTGTTTGCAATGCTGAGAAATGACGTTGCGAAGCTCTCAAAGTCACCAGGTACAATTGAATTAGCAGCCCCGAGACACTCGTCAATATCTGAGCCGTCAAAGGGCGCCATCGCAAGAGCGCGAAGAATCCCAAAATGGAAATCGGAGTCCTTGCTGAGCTGATACATGGTTGCATTGGGGTCCGCCATTGTGGATGATATGATTCGGATGCAGCCGATCTGATGATTGGGGAAAGCTGTCGTTGCGACAACGGAACCGATTATCTCAATAGGCATATGCCAAAGTCTTACAGCGTCTTGTTACGATGGAGGCTTCCATAGCCTTCTTATACTTTGACCCGCCGGCAACCTGTTGTAAACCAACACGACTATATGCGCCCAAGTTCTTTGATAATGTGATAAAATGCCACAAGGTGGGGGAAGAGATCGGTGTTCCCTCGTGTGGCGGAATTTGTTTGTGATTGAGCCGAAGAGACGAATAACAAATAGGTGCAAACCGTCTCACGCTCGAAGAGGAATGGCCAAGGCACAAACATCCTGGAACCAATAACGAAGTTGACATCGTTACCTCGAATCGGGACCAGTGTTAAACGAAAAATGATGCATCATGCTTGCAGTGGCGTCTGTCAATGCGGGGGAAAGCAAAAGTCCAAGGTCGACCTTGACTTTGTCCCTCGCGCTTCATTCCCGTTCGGTTGCCGGCTGTCCCTCCTAGTTGTGCCGATGATCCTTCAAGGTGCATTATCTGGTGGCGGTTGGCAGAAATTGACACAGCCGGTCAGGCTGTCGTGGACGTGGCGTTGTGTTTGCATACTTGGGTGTCCATGGCTTCCTTCTTGAAAAAGGTCGTTTATGCAGGTCACAACCCGAGATGAATTCTCCATCGACACATTCGACGCTGCCATTTCCCCACGATGCCTTGGAGCTGGTTTGAGGCCGCCCAGAACGAAAGGGAGGGATCCTGCGTCGTCGCCTTCGGCTCCGGCAGTTGGAATCCGAAGGTTGCCCGACGAGCATTCGTATCAAGCTACTTTTCCCTGCGCCTGTGCCGCCGACAAACGATGCCTGGTGAGGATGGAAATTGCATTTTCGCGGGTATCATTTGTATATTTGCCCCTGTGAGCTTCTGTAGCTGCCTCTTCGACAACGTTGCGTCTGGTGCCACCAGTGTATTTGGGAGCACCAGACTGGAGGCAAACGTAGTCATTCTTCGCCTCGGGGAATGCAATTAAGCTTCACGGAGGTATAAGAGCTTCAAGACAACTACAAGGGACGACGGTGATGCTCTGTTGACAGGAGCCGTCGCAGATGTATCGGACCATGATAAGTATTGAGGGAATTCTGGAGCGACTGGAGCGGTGGTTGCCCCTGGTTTGGGAGTGGTGACTGTTCAAGGTTACATATGTAGCAAGAAATGAGGCGGAGATGAGTTGGAGATGAAGTTGATAACTCCATCGCTCTTTCCTACTGTGAGGAACCCTGTGGGGTGAATGTCACTGGATTGACTCAGTCAGCGCTAAGATCTGGTGTGCAATATGGCTTTGGCATGCGCCTAGCCAATACTCAAGTGCTGTCTGGTGCCAGTGCCAGGCGTATCCCGTCTGGTGCTACCAACCAATCAATTACTGACCAGACCCAACCGAACATTGACCAGACTGAACATTGAACGCCAGCACCCAGCCTGCCCAGTGTACCTGCACCAGCTTACCTCTTTTTCTACTCCGTACACATGCAGCGGCGTCGCCAGATAACATGAACCAGACCCCTTTTTGAGCCGCTGCAACCCCAGCATTTCAGAGTTCTACCAATTAACGGCCAAGCCATTGCATTTCAACGATGCCATAGGAGAGCAATCGGTCCATTGTGAACGGGATCGGTTCATCCAACGAGTACGCAATCGCGAGGCTGAACTTCTCCAACTCGCCTCATCTAGCTGTAACAAGACTTCTCCCTTTATTTTGTCCGGGGAAGCTACAATTTCATCATTTTTATCCAATTTTCAGACCTTTAGAAATGCGTCTTACACATTCCTTTACGGCATCGCCTCATATATTGCCCGGGCCGCAAGGTCCAAAGTGAGGTGGCTACAATGCTGTAGGTGCCCGTTCCACTTGGATACCAAACTGGATAAAAGCAAGTTGCTAATGGCATCCAACTGCCTCGCAGAAAACACAACCATACCTGCCCTGAAAGCTCTGGCTTATAGCACAGATGATAATGACGGACTATTTTCAACGTTTATATCATCCTCGATTATTCTGACGGCAGAAGCTCCGACGACTGGAATTCTCTTCTATCGGTAGACTGGAGCAGACCCCAAACGGATTCGAACTCCGTCAAAAGACTGCCTCAATGGACATGAACATGTAGCAATTGGAGTGTTCAGCTCATTTACCATTCAGAATACCTACTATAGCCAACATTGGTGTTTGCGGTCGGTCAATTCCTACGCAAATATGCTCCTGGACATTGGCTATAATGTATTCTCGAAAAGCCGATAAGCCGTTGAGATTAGCATGGGTCAAGATGCTACTTATTACCATTAGCTCTTTTATGCGTTTTTAGCAAAGAGATTACTGTGGTGATGGATGCAGCGGGCTCTCCGGGGAAACAGTCGGCGCTGTTGACCTTACTTGGTCACATTTCTAATGTTCCCCGTGCTCGCCCAAACGCCAGCATTGTCGCTTTTGGTACAGCCATCTCAATCGTACTAACCTTGCTATGGAGAAGATATTGGCCTAACATCAACCCCCAAGTGCTCTGATCTCGGCCTCGAGCTGAGCTTGCTCATGCCTCGGCCTCTGAATGGTCATGTCGAGTGCATCTGATTCGTCTTGGAGCCGGAACGACGAACCCCATGCTACCTTATTCCGTTTGAACTTGGCCGCTTTGGATGACGACGACATCCCTTTATCGGTCTATGATGACATACCTCTCTGATGTTTCGCATGCCTTAGGGATTGAATCTTAGCCTTCACGGGTTCTTTCTGGTTATTCGTCCTCTCGTGATAGAAACTACATCAGGCGTAGCACACAACGGTGTGGATCTAATCTGAGCGAACAAAGGATAGCAGTACAAACTATAACGCCACTAACGTGCATTAGCCAACCAGATTATGGGATTTGTCGACATTTCGTCCAAACCGGCAAGTCCATCGCGAAGTTCTGGGCCTGGCCTCTCTTTAAAGATACTCTGAAGCGACTGTAGAGTGTTTGTCGCCCGCTTTTTACTCTCAGAGTTCCGAAATTACTTCCTGGCGCAATTTTACAGCTTCAGTTCTTTATAAGGACCCAGTCTTCGTTCCAAAATCAGCCATACATCATCAATTTAAAGATTCTTCGCTAAAACATGCCTTCATACGTACAATTACGGGCCGTACCGATATTATTGTCACCAAGCTATCGTCTCTGAAAAGTCGCTCCACTCCCCATCCATACCATTGGGTCGAAATCGAAATAGAACCTTCACAAATTTTCCACCGCTTTGGGGATAAATATCTACCGAGTGAATACGGCACCATTCTGGCACGACGGCTGGATCGGTTGGCTGCGGCTCTTCCAAACACGCCTCCTCCAACTGCATCAGGCGCTCTGCTATTTTGGCATAGGTCATTGCATCCCATGAACCCCCAAGGCTAGGTGCTATCTGTAGCAGTTCAATTGCTCGTCGGCGAATGAGCGAGCTTCTGCATTTTAAGGCAGTGATATATAAGGAGTATATGACGGCCCTGTCGAGAGCAAATTCTACGTGTTGCCGTGGACTGCCCCCGTCTGAGATGGGGCTCACGGGAAGCGGGCTGAGAATTTCGGACGCGCTGTCTACTATAGCGAGGAAATCACAGGTGAATTGGTCGTATATTGCTTCCTCGGTGTACAATGACGTGGCCACGAGAATGATGCCCGTGAGGCATTTGACTCGTAGGTTGGCTTCTCCGGCGGGGGATAGCCAGTCTCCGTTGGAGCCGGGCGTGAGGTATTTTTTTCGGAATTGATGCAGTTTATCTTCCAGTAACTTGGCTTCTAACAGAAGGTCGAGTGGGATCGATCCTGGGACTCGATAGCGATAGTCGTCTGCTTTAAGTCGGAGGAAGGTGAACACTGAGCCCATTAGATCCGCAAGCTCGCTCTCTGGGTCTCTAGAGACTTTTTTGAGACTAAAATCCGCTAATTCTGTGATATTTAGAGCGATTAGGGGCGATCGCAGGCCAAGAAAGACGGAGACCTGCAGGTCAAGCCTGGTGAAAGCCAGAGCCAAATCTTGATCAACTAAGAATAAGTCAGTATTTGAATATACATTACAACGCCCCTCAATACTTTTAAGGGGCAGCTACATACTCGAGTCGGCATTGGAGTTAAGAATTTGAAGGCTATGGTCCAAATGACAGAGCGCCATCTCGGCATTTCTCATGAGAAGCTCAAAGCAGATGCACACAATCGTACACAACAAGATGACATTGATGGATCGTCCGTCGCCGTTCGGAATCATGTTCTGCATTCTGTGTATACACGCGCGATAATTAAGAATAGCAAGCTGCACGTCTTCCGAGACCTCTGTCGCTTTTGGATCCCACACCGTCATCGCCCTCTTAGCCTCGTCGTAGGCATCACACAACACGCTGAAAGCGATGACGGCTTTTAAAAGCGCCGGTTCTTCATAGGCAGCCTGCAGCATGAGGCCCTGTAAGGATGGCCGGCCTACGTCTTCCATAATACAATAGACGAGGCGGTGTCGAAAGGCTTCCATGCACTGTTGCTCTTCGTGGTCGAGGCTGCTGATTCTCGAGGGTTGGAAGTGAGAAAGCGTCAAGGGCTGGATGAAGGTGAAGCTGTTGGGCTCTTTCATAACGGGCTGACCGACGCCATCACACTCGCGGCCGGTTCGTTTACAGTTATTACAGGTCGGCCATGTTTCGTCACAACGGACCTTGCGGATCCTTGAACCAAAACCACGGTTATTAGTACAGGTTTCTTGCGATTCATCAAGATGGGCTGGATTCGTTATAAAATAACACGAAACAGCACAACTCACTTGCACGTTCTGCATCCAAATTTGGTCTTGGTATAACGGCGCCGCTGTCCTGTCGCGCGTTTTGGTTCGGCATTCGTTCTGACACTTGCTGGCTTCACCATTGTCGATATGAGTTTACCATGGGGCAAGTCAACCACAGTGCATGCCTAAATCAGGGAGCCCGCCATGCAATGAGACGGAACTGGGGCGTGGCGAGTTTCTTATCCTTCTTTCCCAGAGGTTCTCGAATGTCACTCCAAGTACAAATCCTGTGTGCCCGGGTCTGCCACCGCACAGGAAAATAAGGTTCCATGGGGGCATGCATACCTGTCCGTCGGCCGAGAAAGCGGTGATAAACTCTTTTTGAACGAGCACTGCCAAATCCTTCCCACCAGTAGTCACAGGCCGCCGACCACCCTCATGCCTCCTCTCCTATACGTATTACATACAGGAGGAACGGAGGTAAATGCGGGAGTCGTCAACAGGCCGGGAATTGCGCCACCACCACACCGTCCAGACCGGCAGGCATCTGTGGTTCTCGAGACGCCAATGGGCCGCTTCGAAGCCACCATATGTGCCTTTTTGGCCGCAGCATAGTCCCTGGTATGTCCATAAAGTTTCCACTTACTCAAGGCATCCCCCGAAAGTTCCGTCCTCAGTTCCGCTGTCACATTCGGAATGGCTCCTCCACGTTTTGTGAGGTCGTTGCAAGCGAAGCGGCTGAATTCAGCCCAGCAGGACGCCTACCATTGTAGAATCCATGCCGTTACAACACATGGCGGCGCGTGGGCGTTTGCGCCCATGGTTGGCTGGATTCTTGACCTGCCTGCATGTGTTCATCTGTTGTGGCACACGCACAAAAGGTATGCTTCGAGTCAGCGAAGCAGAGAAGGACAAGACGGCCCGTTCGGCGTTGCTGGGTTGCTACCCAAGCGGGAATAGCCTCATGTCAATATTGAGCCTTCTGTCGACACACTCGTTGCAACGTGTCGAGCTGATGTTGCCTCTTGCTGTTGTGCCTTGGTGGCAGCATCGAGATCATCTCTGGGGTCATGGGCAAATAGCATGGCGTTTTAATTTCCCCAGCATTTGGCCATGCCCAATAGTTCAAGCAGCCATACCAAGGTGAACCAGAGCGCGAGATGTACATAAGCACCCATTTTCGAGCATGACCTCAAACCCCCGACTACGCTCCTGCAGCCACATCGTCAATGCTGCCCATGGGGGCCGCCCAATACGTTCACAGCACCCGATGATCTGCGTTTTCGCTACTCTCAGTCTTCTTCCTCGTGGCCACCGGGGGGTGGGCACTCTTTGCTGCTGAGAACCACCAAGAAGCGTCTGCGTGGCCATCGAAAGTGGGCGCAATGGTAACACAGCAGGACCAAGATTCCGAGAGAGGCCCAGATCATCCGGCCCCCCCTTTCAAGCAAATCCATTCAGACCCTTTGCACCCTTTCGAAGGAATATCGAGCCCCCTCCCGGTGTGACCGGCTGTCTTTGCCGATGGCGGAGATGCAAGATGGCCGACGAGCAGCTAAATATAACCAATGCGGTATGCGTACTTTGCGCACGTTGGCATGAACAAGATGACCTGTCTCCTTTGACGTTCCTTCGTCGCCTGCAGGATTTGCCGGCGGTCAAACGACCTGACCGCAGCGCTGACTTTGTGCTCAGATGGCCCCGTTGAACGACCAGCCCTCCACGTTTCCCCTTCCATGCTCCCACATGGCCATTTTCAACAGCTGTTCAGGTGTCATTTCTCCGTGCCATGCGGAGTAATTTGCAGCTGCATGAAGGATTGTGCCGCATTCACGGAGTCCGGAGTACATGGCAGGGTACTGTACCACAAACAGCCTGGGTTTCGTCCAGCCTTTGGCTCACTCGCGGACCTCTCGCATCCAAGTTGCCCAACTGATACAACAGCAAGGTCAACGGCAAGAATAGCACAGCATGCTTGCCATTCTCGTGCACCGGTGGTAGTCGACCGAAACAAAGCTGCGTCTAGCAGAGCCGCGCGCAGAGGCGGGTCAAGCACCTGTGATTCTGCCCCTTGGACAACCAACCCTGTCCAGGTTATGCTTTACTTATTCTATTACAACTTTATTGACGAGGCATGAAGACTTTGTGTTATTTACAAAATAATATGGAGAGCAATTGTCCGTCCAAGAAAGGAATTAGGGAATACCTAGTCACACGTGCGGTAGCTCTGTGAATCCAACCACGTCCTCCGTTTACACCGCCCGGAAAGAAGCCAACGACAACTCCAGTCTATTCACTTGGCTGTTTCCGCTAAAAAGTCGGGCTCTGTTCGCCTCGGTCTAACAGCTCGCTGTCGTTAACTGCCGAGCGCAGCTCCACAACAAAGCAACTCGGCCAGCTCCAACTACACACGTCGTCTTAAACCTCCAGGTTCACTTCGTCCATCACGCGGCTCCCAGTCAAATAGAACCGTAAATTCATTGCCTTCGGGAACCTGCAGGGCACAATGGCCATGTTCACTGATAACCTTGATTCACCTGCACGCGCGCTTCCACCCCAAAAAAATTCTTCCGCGGCTCTGCCTGATTGTTTTTCGCCCAATGTTCTCAACTGCTCAACACGGCTACCCTTCTGCACGGTGAGTTTTTTTTGTACCCAACATTTTGCCATCCATCTCTCAAGGTCGTCGAATATTGCAACTATTTGTTCTGAATCATTGAATCAAATACAACGCTCATAGCTTGATATCGCCATCCTCAAAACCAGTTGCTTGGCATGAGTCTCCAGCAACGTGATGCAGGCGACTCTGTTCGTCACATCTCAGAATCATCCGGTGCGTGCGCCAATTTTCCAAAGAAGAAGAATAGCAACGATACCACCATTACTTAAACTCATTAGCGTTGGATCGAATTGTCCCTCCTTCGAATCAGCTGCCAGGACGGCGGCCCAGCTGGCTCACTACTACTGCTATCCAAGTTCAACCCAGTCAGAATGAGCAACTCCGTCAGCATCCCGGCCTTCAAGGTAACCATTTTCGCGGAAGACTAGCCTCCGCCATCAACAGCCAGGCATTGCAGACGTCTTTTAATAACACCTCGAATTGCCCTTCTACTATGACCACTCAGGTTGCTGGGTTTCGCCTTCCATCGCAGTACGATGGCACGCAAAGGGTTTCTGGAAGTGGCATTTGGCCTCTGACACCTATAATTGAGCATCCTAGTCTCGCGTTTTGTTCTGTGATGCCCTCACACCATGGGTCTACTAATGCTTTCGTGGCCTCACACCCCTATACACCAGCTTCCTCTGATGCGAGGATGGAAGAGTTGTCCCATCAACTCCAGCTCCAGAAAGTCAAAGCCCCGGCCATGATTGGCAACACTTTCGTCTCGAATTTGATTCAGCAATCGACTACAGTCGGGCGCAGTGCGGAGGGTGTTCTATCTGCAGTCACTGTTGGGACCGCTAGAGTTGCTGCAAACAAGGATGGTGTTCCAACCGGCAAACGTGACCAGGAAGGTGCCGAGGGTTGTATTCTCAGCGGCAGCTATGCGCCCACCAACCGCGGTAGCCCTGCTCATGCTTACGCCCACGCTGGGCTCCCTCGTCCTGTTGGTCGTATAGGCTCTGCTGGGCCCCATGACTCTGCCACCCCCCTTGGGTATCACGAGTTGTATAGTCCAAACGGCGCGGCCATGGCTACTAGGTCTGGCGGGTACATGAGTCCTACTCAGGTTGAGCCCAAAGGACTCGGTACTCCCACTAGTCCAGCCGAGCGTGCAAGTCCAAGCAACTTTACTCATTCGAAAGACGCCAATATTGCTGCTGGAGATCGATGCCTTCCTCCTGGATCTCGCGGGCATCCGGCTCCTTCTCGTCCTCCCACCCACTCTGTTGGTATCCCTGGTGTCTATCGACCTACTGATACCAGAGGTCCGTTTGGGCGTGTCCAGAATCCCTCTATGTATCCTACCCCTGACACCTTCCAGGATGCCAATCATCAGGGGAAATCCATAGCAGTAAGATGGGAAACAATACCTATCAGTAGAAAATGCAGCACGCACTGACAGTTCCGGATAGGTCAACACCAGAGGAACCCCGGCCAACCTGCAATGTAACTCCCAGCCCAGCCTCGCCACAACGAATGCTCTAGCCCCGGGCACACAAGCCACCGGCTTCGTGCCCATGTTGGCCGTCACCCGTCCCGACATGACCGGCCGAGACGTCACGCCCATGCCGCTCGGGAGCCAGGCCGTCATCGACTTGAAGTTCTCCCCGCACTACCGTGGCATGCACACCGAGACCAACGCCAGCGCAGATCACCTCCCGCCGGACCAGAACTGCTCCCTCTGGATCACCCAGCTGCCCGCGGACGTCAAGGTCGCCGAGCTCCTAGGCAAGATCCGCAACGTCGGCCGCGTCTACGCGACCGTCCTCAGCCCCCCGGACGGAAGCAAGCATCCCAAATCCGCCGCCAAGCTCGTCTTCTTCACGCCGGCCGGGGCGCAGAGGCTGCTCGCCCACGGGGAGGGCCACCCCGTCGTTATTCGCGGGCACAGGGCGCAAATCATGCCCAATAGGACCAAGTGCGGTTCGCAGAGCACCGAGAGGGGCGAGTCGCGCGTCTTGATCATCACGGGACACAGGCGATTTGTGAACGAGGCCAGCCTGACGGCGTATTTCGAGGGCAGGTTCACGTTTCAGATTGACAAGGTGCAGACGCTGGTCGAGTTTCAGGACCGGGCTGTGGTCGAATATCAGTTTGGTAGCTACCGCTGCCAGTCGCAGATGGGCCTCAAGGCGTTGCAGCTGGATCGTCCGAGGGGCCTGGAGATGGTGGAATTCGGTGCCGACCCCTGCGAGGTCGGCAGCGACACGACCTCGTTTACGGTTGCTGGGGAGAGGATCCAGGGGAAAGGGCTGTTTCCTGACCTGGAGTGAAGGGGGGGATATGGTAAACGCACAAATGAGAATAACTTGGGCTAGACGGAGGCGGTGGTTGGGTTGAAGAGTGGAACTAGTGATGCTTCTTGTTGGCACGCCCGAATGCCGGTTTGTATTGGTATTGCAAGTACTTGTTGCGAGTTGGACAATGGGGATTTGAGGACCAAGGCGAATGAAGACAGCTACTGTTCAGAGCTAGGCGGTGCAGAAGAGCAAGAGGCGTCGACCAACTTACTCTTCATATGGGAGTTGGGACGACAAAAAAAAAGTCTTGTAAGGGTATTCAATGGGCTATTTGGCGATAGATTCAATGTTAGAACACGCCGGTAGGTTTGTCGGCTTTTAATGAAGTACAGGTGCGAAGCTTAATCCTCCACGCCTCTCCAGAACGACCTGAGGTCCTCCTGTCGCGACTTGGTCTCGCAGCCAGTCTCCTTCTCGATGCGCTGCAACACGTCGAGAATGGCCTTGTGCTCGGCCGGGTGGCGGATGCACCGACCGGCCACCCACAACAGCTGCACGGCATTCATCCACGCCCCGTGGTGCTCATTGGAGATGCTAACGGCGCAGATTTGGCGAGCATGCCAAAGAGCAGTGCGGGCTTTGGGCGGCGTCACCTCGGTAGGTTGGTGTTGGAGCATGAGGACCGACGCGGTGTGGTAGAGCTGAGTGGCCGATGTGGCGGCAGGATTGGAGAAGATGACGGTTGGAAACGGGGTGTTTGTGGTCGTGGATGGCATCGACATGACGGGCAGAAACGGCGCCGGACGGCTCTCTTGCCAGTCGCACAGGTGCTTCCAGAGCCGGAGCCAGCGAGTGTGGAACGCCGGGTCGCGGCGGTTGGTGGTTTGGGATGAGAGGAGATTTAAGACGCGGGCTGTGAGGTGGACGGCGTAGTTTGCCCATCCGGCACAGGTTTTGGTCTGATGCAGTCGCACGTCGTCGTCGGTATTTGACTTGGACCAAGTTGATACGGCGAGAGTCGGGGCGGAGAGGAGGGCGCCGCAGACGTCCGTTCTTGCGAGGCACCAGAACAAGGCTTGGTCGACGCCCCCGACGAAGCCGTTGATCCCGACTGCCCCCATGAAGCTGGCGCATCCGTCGAGATGCCGGTGCCATGATTCAGGGGAGCAGCTAAGCGTCTCTAGGACGCTGAGGATCACGCATGAAGCTACGGCGGCTGTTGAGCGGGACGCCAATTCTGGAAGCAAGAGACGTACGGCTTCTTGGTACAGCGCCAGGCTCCGGTCCGTCGGGTTCGCCGGCCTTTTCAGCTCCTGTTGTCGTGCAGAAAGGGCGAGGATGGCGCATCGCAAGTGGTCGTTGGACGGTGCCAATGCGGGAAGAGTGTGCTGGAAGTGACGCTCCATGTCGAATATGTCTAGCCAGGGCGCTACGTTTGCGAACCAGTTTCGCCAAAGGCTGCATTCTTCTTCTGTTGATACTATAGCTTGCGTGGTCTTTGATATGGCTGTCAAGTTATCGGGCACGCTGCCAAGTGGTTCATCGTGGTTACAATCTTGACAAAGGTCGTTGTCTTGTCCGCCGACTTTGGCGCTTCGGGTGGCTGGCCTTGTAGACACGTTCCGTCTTGATTCTTGAATCAACTGTTGTCTCAAAATAGAGTGGGATTCATGATACGCAGAGCCTGGTAGGAATCGTCCGTCCTCAAAATACGTCCCGCTGGGAGTGAAGGGTTGGTAGTGGTCGAGGTCATCGCAATCGGCAACGGAGCGAACCGGCGTTGGATCCAATCGCACATGTACCGATTTGTGAGTAGGTTCAGTAGACTGGCCTCGTTGGCTGGCGTCGGACAAGTCAGCAACAGATATTTCCGTCTGTCGGCGGCTCGCCGGTGAGACAATGCCATTCATGGGTGGTGTCTCGGGATCTGTGGAAGAAGCGCCAACCGCTGCACATGAATCTACTCTTGACGCCTCGTTAGGAGCAGATATTTCTGTCTGTTGGATACCTCCAGAATAGCCGGTGAGAAGACGGTTCTCTCTAGCAACACGTCCCGCGCTGAAATGGTCACCATGGTCGTCATGGACGACATTTCGCTGCGACGCCGGTGGAAGGCTATAGTCACGCATCACCTCAGAGGTCACGTCCACAATCTCGTACTGTTTCGGGCGGTGTCGTGAGAATCGTCGCATGGACGGATGATTTCCGGCAAGATGCTGCGCATTCTCATGCCGAAAGCTGAGCTTCAGCCCCCATGAGCACTGGTGTTTCTTCTTTCTGCACCCGCCGCATGATGGCCGCTGCTCATCGCATTTCCGCTTCCTCTGACGGCAATTGAGACAGCCCGTCCGTGTTCGTAGGCTCTTGCGATGCGCAAGTCTCTGCTGGGCGTTGTCTTGGTCTGCCGATGCGGTCATGATGAGCCCAATGCAACGCTGGACATGAAAGCGATGCCAGCGACGCGTCAACTGGTACGTAGCTAACCTCTTCGGCCCGCGGTATATCAATCAATGATCCTTTCCAAGCAACACCCGCAGCTTGTCATGCCTTGGCGGTTGTAAACTTGTCAAGGCCACGATTCCCGAGCCCGGTTCTTGGCCACGACATGAAAGGCCTAAAGGCCCCGTAACTGACCACGCGATAGGGCTAGCGCCGTTGCCGCCGTTGCCCTCTGCAGCCAGCAATCCTAGAAATGGCTAAGTTATTGGCATATGCATCAATGATTTTTTATAATATTTGACCTAAATAATAGGAGCGTAAGTAAAGTCCGGCTTGGCCAACATGCATCTCGTTCATCTCACTTGTCATGGTGGGAAAGCGGCTGGATGCTGGCAAAGGCTCCAGCACTATTAAATACTTGGCGAGTTTCTCTCGTCCTTCCTCCGACCAACTTTCGAATGTACATTCAAGGTTCTCATATGTACGACTGTTGATTGCGCTTGGCTACTACGTCATGGGGTAAAAAGACGCCGCAATAGTGACTCTGGATTGAATATCCCCAATGTCCTGGATAGCTCATAACTTCATAAGTGTGTCGGTAATGAAAACCGTCACTCTAGACATGCTTCCCATCGCAAGTGCCAATATGCAGTATAAAATAGCAAAAGTAGCGAGCACTGTTCAAGTACAAGCAGGTTCCCGGTGCGCATGAACCCAACAACTCAACCATCGTGTCGCTTCGGGTTGGAGTGACTCGCTTGTTGAAGCAATCTCAAGCACCCTCAGTCCTAATACGAATACGCACTGCTCATCTGGTTGCCTCACTTCCATTTCAGCCAGCCAATGCCTTTCCCTTTCTTTTGTCCCTGCTCTTCCATCCTTGTTCGCTCTTGCTGCCTCCTGGCCATGTCCGCCTGCAACAACATCACTTTCCCATCCATCTGCTTCTCGGTCGGGAACCCACGGCCTCCGTCGGGGCTGGTCTCCTTGTCCTCCGACCCTTTATAGGTTCCCTCTGCTACGCCCAGCAGTTGGCAAAGCCCTTCTGCCTTTTGCATCAGCCACGACCCATGGCGCAGGCCGTCTCGCCAATGCGGCGGCAGCGCCCTGTATCCCACGTACGCGCCGAGAAGAGCGCCAGCGAAGCACGCGTTGGTGTCGGCATCTCCGCCTCGCATGACGAGATCCGTCATCAGGGGCTCGAACATGGCTGACTGGGCCGATAGCGAATGCCCCGAGTCGGCGGATTTTCGCATCGCCATGCGGAGGAGGTGAACACCAGAGCCGAATGTCTTGTAGACGTATCCCATTTTGAGTGCATCGTCGAGTTGCAGCGCGTCGAGGTTCTCAACCTTGGTGTGTCTTCTGAACTCGGCGAGATCCAGGTCTGGTTCGTCCCGTCGATCCGGGTCTTGCATCTGGCGAGCCCTGTAGCCCGTCCACCACGACAATCCCTCCGCAATGGCGGTATCAATGTCGTCTTCTTGGCGGACTTGTTGGCGAAGAAGACCTCGGATAAGGGCGGTCCCAATGGCACATGAGATTATGCATCGCGGGTCAACATGTGTGACGGCCGAGTACGCAGCTGCCGTCTCGAATGTGTCGTAAAGTGGCTTGTCCAAGCAAAGGAGGCCGAGGGGGTGCGTTCGCATGAGGCTTCCGTTGGGGGCAGCATGATAATTGGTATTCTTCCAATGGGCTCTGGCCGTGCCCTCGGGGTCATCGAGATATGTCCTTGTCCGCACAATTGCGCCCACGGTTCGTCCCAAGCCCAAGGGCAACGTGTCCAGCGCAAGCAGCCCGAATCGAACCCAAATCGAGAGCCGTGACGCAAAATCCTGCGCATCGAGCTCCGTGCAGTCCTTGTGCAGACAGGACAACAGTATCAACAGCGCATGGTCCGTATCATCGGTCCATTCCCCGGGGCGATGAGGATTCCGATGTGCGTCGCTCCGGAAGAGGGTAGCCTCAGATTCGGGATGGAGCACGAATTTCCGTGACGGGTACGCAGTGGCGGACATGTCTCCAGATAGAAACTCGGTGTATAGTCCGACGGCATCTCCCAAGGCTGACCCGAACAAGCATCCAATGATCCTATCATGGACCGTCTCCCTGGCCAAGGCGTTGATGCCTTCGGGGGTGATGCCAAATATATCCATGCTGCTGTGCGCTGTGGTGTGATTGCCCTCTAAAGGGATTGCCAACGGAGAGGCTTGACTCGATTATGTACAGTCACGTACCACGTCGTCGGTATATAATGCTTCACTGGCAAGGCAGCCATTATAGAGGCTGACAACCAAGGCAGACTCGATGTCTGGGCTCTCACGTCAAGACTCGACAGACTTAACTGGTCAATCCAGAAATCGTTAGCGCCAGTTTTCCGGTCTGCTCTGTCAGTTGTGGGGGAACAGAATCCATGTCAAGTGTCGAGGGGCTCAGTCCACACTTATCCACCCATCTCTGACCGTCTTTACACAGGGTAGTCACCAGTAGCAGTCATCATCTCATCGTGATATCGGCCATGATTCCCTTCAGTTTGCAAATGGATGTCGCTTTTCTGTGGATTCATAAATTCTATCCGCCGCCTAACTTTCATAGAGGCACGTAGGAGACGGCAAATGACCTGAAATCACCACCGCATGAAAGTCCCCTACTTCTGTCCATCTCGATCCGCCTGCTACCCTGTACTTGGAGTGAGATGAAGACCAATATCAATGAATTCATTGGGCTATTGACGAGGAAGGCGTGATTCGCCTTGCATCTTAACACAATGGCGACAACCGCTGCGATATCCCTCGGCGAGAGAACGGCGTCTAACGTACGACGCAGACAAAAAAGACTATGCTCGGATGCTTGAACCAACGACACTTGCAAAAGCTGTATATCTTGTTCTTGAAGAGCCCTGTTTCCGACAGACATTGGGACTTCGGCCATGTCAATAGTATCCTTGAGACAACCCTCGTTCCTTAGAGCGGCCGCTCAGCTGATGGGCTTTTGTAGAACAGTCGGCCTGGTACGGGAATACTAGCCGTCCCTTGAACAGTAAACCTGGAGTGAGAATTAAAGTCTTGGCCGCATGATTATAGTTCCGATTGAAACGTACTTTCTGGGGTCTTTTCGGCTGGGTACCACAGGAAACATGAAGGCGCCGTTTGAATCGTTAAAAGTCGCCATGCTGGGCAGAGCCCGTTGTGGGAAGAGAAATGCCGATCTGGGAACCAAAGAGTTCTGGAATCCGAATTACCCTGAGCTGTAAAAACAGCTACTTGTCAGTGCCCCATGACTCCAGTAGAGCTTTACATTCATAATCTCAGCTCGGAACGCTCGTGCTTTTGACGAGTATGTATATGGAACGCAAAAATACAGAAATGAACAAATCGTCATGTTTCCACCAAGTAGCAGCTTCGGCGGCTAAATCGTCGGACCCCGGCTGATTTGTAGACTCGAGGGGAACAATGTAGCTGGGTTGTGACCTAGTAAGGGAGGATCTGCTCTGTCCCCAAGGTGCTCGCGTCAAGGGCCAGATGAAGCCGGGGGAGGAATTGATGGAATATAATACGGCGTACAAGCGACTTAAGCAAGTCTTGCCTCTGGGAGTGCCATGATGGACTTTCTAAGCTAGCGGGTGAAGGCTTACGCTGATGTTGTGGGCAGATTCGTTTTTGAGGAGGTGAGGTGGTTTGGTCCAAAGCTGAGACAAAGGAAGCCTTTCGTCAATGCTCCCCGAGAAGTCATTATGCTGGCCCAACCTGGGAAAGCAATGAGGCTTGTTGCGCGGCACGGGCATCACTGGCGATTGATCACTGATCAAATGTCATGGCGTCAGTCGGAGAGTGCTTGCGAACCATCCACCAACATCTGTCTTGGGCATGATTGTAAAGCTGGAAGGCGGTGCCTTCATTCCATTTCGACCGGGCATACCTTCAGGGCGCTATCTTGTTTCCCGTTATAACAGGGTCGTGGTATCATAAAGTGACTGGTCCTAGTAGCCCCAGGACTCCATTGTTTGGCGGTGGATAAGATGGCTTCCCATCGCATCTAGTGTCCAGGCAACTTTCGTTGGCCACGGTCCAAGAGAGTGCTGCCATATTTTCCAACAAACAAACAGGCTCAAGGAAAGGCAGACAGTCGATTGAAATTTAATCATTTATATTCTGAAAATAAATGTTTCTCTGTAGCCGTCCGGTTGAGAAACCTGCGCGGAGAATGTAAAATGTTGTGTTTTGTGGCCAAGGGCCTGAGACTTCTTTGCTGGGAGCAATGCATGTCATTGCCGCCTCGCAACTATAAGTTTCTTTCATGGAAATGCAAACATTCTTTCCAATAATGCTCTTCTTACATCTTCAACTTCATCCAGAAAGTCGGCTGGCGTCTTGTGTAATCCACTGGCTGAAGGACTAAGAAACCTGATGCCAGAACTGCCGACCTGTCTCCATCAGCCAATATAATCTCAAATACAAGGTTAATCTTCAGCATATAACTAATACCATAAAGTAAAAACGTGAAATTTCTTGTCATAGTTCCCGCTTGTTTTGTAGACCAAGTGTGATTCAATGACGACTACAGCGGCGGATACATTCGAGCACAGAATGCAACTACTTCAGTGGCAAACCAATATTCCTAGAGTTTGTGTCAAAGCGTGTGCCGGGATTTTGTGGCGTCACTAGTTAGTACGCGATGTGCATGTCGAGGATAAATGAGATTCTCAAAAGCACTGTGCTCTGCATACTTGTCCCAGCGGGCGTGATCCTTATCCTGTACTCCGTAAAGGCATGGTCTTGATCCAGTGAAGGGGGCAAGACTCCTTGTCTTGTACTTATAGTGTTGGCGGCGTAGGGAGAACTGTCAACAATTGAACAAAAGTCAATCGCCCGTGGCTTGAAATAGGCAAATGCGGCCCAACCTTATACCATCTCTCGACACGGTGCATGGCAAGACCCAATCCGACTCTGCATATTGCAGCACTTTTCCTCATAGTGACCTGCTTGAAGCAATGTATCTTCTCATTTTCTTCTGGATTAAGTAAACACATCTACAAACAAGGCAACTTTGACTGGGACATATTTCCAGGTGTGGGCTTCGGTCAGCAACTATGGCCCGGTCTGTACACTCACTGACTAAATTAGCGAGTACATTCTTATCCATTAACGCCTACACCATAAGAGTGTAGGTTTGAACTACGTCTGTTCGGTCCTGTCGGCAATCGGCCCGTAGATGTACTCGGGAAGTTAAAAACATGCCTGTGTACCTGGGTACCTGGGTGACTAAAGGCCTACTTGAGTAAATGCTTGGGGTGCTGATTTATGAGACTCAATGTCCTGAGCAAATTTACGCCGACTTTCAAATATTCGTTCATATCCAATAACCAAATTTCTTCTATAAATTTATGTTGAGAAATGGAACCGCCGTGCGGCGGATATTGTTGCCTCCTACCAGATTGAGGACAACCGATCCAATAGTCGAGGAAGAAGAGCTTTTGCCAGGCCCAGCAGAGCCAAATTCTCGTTCCTTCGTGCCCGAGGAACAAGTTGACGAGCCTGAAGCATGGACACCTGAGCAAATATGTCTCTGCAGTGCTAGGTGGAAGAGATACCTGGAGAAGGTGCAAGTGTCGGCTCTTGGGGGAGAGGGTCATGAGACAGAGCAGGACAGGTACCGGACTGTCTTGGAGATGTTGGAGAGCGAAGATGCCCGACTGGGGAAGGAAGGATCGGAGGTTTCGCTGCAAAGAGAGAAGTGGGAGATGATGCAGCGGACTCGTCGAGTACGAGCTAGTCTTAGACCGCACCTCGACGAGCTGCAGGCCATTGCCAACGCTGCTGAGAGGGTGCAGACGCACGAGACACGACTGGCCCAGATGAAAACGGAACAGGAGGAGTGGCTGGAAGACATTTCCAAGAATCCCGGATGGCTTTGCAGCTTTAAGAACGTCCGAATCGGGGGCTTTTTTGATGTAGACTCTGTGGAGGTTCGAGTTGTTACTGGACTTTCACACTCGAGGTACTACCTGGGCCACAGCGGCGGTGACTATGTCTTTGAGTATGGCGGCCCCGGAATTACAAGTGGCGACGAATACTGCCAGGGAGACGAGGCATGGGATCCGAATGGTCCGGTATGGAAGCATCCTGGCTTGCACGGTGCATTTGGCCTTGACCAGGGCGGTGCAGAGACTGCCAGCTTCAAGTTCCGGGGCTTAGTGCCACGGACCTGGAGAGAATACTCGACAAGATTTGAACTCGTCTGCAAAGATGTCCTGCAGGTACTCGCCGCATTCATTTCCTTTGAGCCGGAGGGTGATGGGCCCCTATGGGGTGCCCAGTACCAGCACGTCCCGACATTCTCTGAAATCAACATTCGGATACTAGCCCATGTGCGCGATGCTTGGCGGATGAGGGTTTCGCTCAATCATCCGTACCTTTGCTGGGCCCGGTCGATTTTGGGCCATCATCCCCGGATCTGCGAGTTCGCCTTCCTGGTCGAGCAACTGGATGGAAGACTGAGCCGTGGACTTACCAGAGTGGCAATGGCACCACTTATCGAGACGGTAGAGTCGGCGACAGAAAGGGCCCTTGAAGAACTGCACGCCATCTATCAAGATATCCTGGGCAAAGAGGCATTGAGGGAACTGCACGAATCGAGAAATATTAAGCACTGCGTGCTTTATGACAAGAAAGGCCAAGAAATAGAGGTGAGGTCACAATTAATCCACACACCCTGAGAGCATCGGGATTATCTTAATCCGACCATCACGTCCTTCCTTGGCCCGCTAACATTTTTTTAGGAGATACATGCATTCTACGCGCAGCCGAAATTCTGTCTCGACCCTGTCCACCCGAACAATCGCTTCAATCGCCCACGAGTCCAGGAAGCGCTGGACACAGCAGTCAATCTTTGCTGTCAAGATTGGCAGTGGACTGACCGTACCGCTTCCGGAATTCTATTTGAGCTCCGCGACCAATTCTGCACACCAATCTCAACTGACAGCATCGCGACGGTTGCTCATCAGCTAGTGCCGCTCCAACCTCAGGCACTCGGTTCGGGTCAGACAGATCTGGCTCCAGGACAAGATAGCCACAACGACACCTCCACAATCGTAGTAAAAACAGAACCAGAAACGGCATACACTCCTCCAGAGACAAGGGGAAGGAAGCGAAACGCAACGGAGTTGCAACAACAGTCTCCAGAGTCGGCATCTCAGGGGGATAAACACGAATCCGACGACAATCCTCCACCCAAACGACGTCGCGGCCGCCCACGCAACCCACCGAGAACATAAAAGATAGCATCCGCCCACCGCACAACACCACTCATGGCGTCATTATTCTCCCTCGGCAGCCTCCTTGGCAAGCCGCCCAAATCAGCAATCCCCTCGGCCGCGCGCCTCCTCTCAACCACCACACCCACCATGGCTCGCCAAGCGCCGTCCAAACCCGGCCCGGGGACAAAGCCCGTCCGCAAGAGCCGCCAGGCCCCCAAGTCGGAAAACTTCCAGCGCATCAAGACCCTCAGGCAGAACATGTTCTCGCCGGCCCCGCCGCCGCTGAGGATGGCCCGGCAGCGATACCTGCGCCACTGGACGATCCACCGCGCGTGGCAGCTGTTTCGGCGCCAGCAGCATGAGAGCATGGGCAAGGAGAGACAGCGCATGCACGCCGGCATGTACAATGCCTGCGAGGAGCTGAGGAAGACGGTCGGGCCCGATGGCAGGGGCGAAGGGTATCTGTACAGAGTGGCCATGGAGAAGAAGGGCGTCTGGGGCACGGATGCTGTCCCCATTGAGTATGCGCGGTTCCAGACGGATAGTCCCGCAAAGGAGCCTTGGAATCACGACTGGAAAAGGTAGCCCTTTATTTCAAGGCATGGGCTTGTATAAAAGTACTGTTCACACACCGTTATGTGGATACGTAACAGTTGTAGACTAGCTTCTGAAGCAATAATAGAATAGCATAAGCCAACATTCAATGGCCAAATATTACTTTTCAAAATGGAGCACTTTCATCGTCATGGCACACAATGGGAAAAGTTGGCCACTGCCACGTCGAGTATAGAATCATTGTTGTTATTAAATGCCAATTGTCTGACACCTAATCTGCTGGTCCAACCCGCACCTACTTTTAGGAAATATGCACCCGAATCATCCCTGGTGGAATATTTCTTTATCCCAAAACAAATCGCAAAAAAACAAGTCAACACGCTGCGAGACGGACCGACTATGCGCTACGCACAGGCCAGCTGATGTGATCTATACCCTTTCCGCGCCATATTAATACAGAGACGCTGCTTTTTGTACTGCGAAAAGCAGATCCGTGTGTGCCTCGCTGTAAAAGTTCAGATAGACTCAACTGAGAGAGAGAACAAGTTCGCTTGCCAAATATCACGGCCCAATTAAATAAAGAACAAGCAGGAGACGAGAATTAGCAGTCGAAAGGAAGGGAGACGCACGCGTCGCCATTTAAGGAGAGGATGCTATGCTTTACCGAGATGCTGGTCAAAACGAAACGAGATGTGGCAGACGGTCCCAATTTGACGGCGATGAGGAGGGAAGCCTCAGGGACACTTCGTTGGCCCTCATATAATCACCAACGTATTTAGATTGCTGGTGAGCCCGTGCTCACAGAATGACGCAGCAACCGCCTCCTTCGCCCTTTTCAAATGTTAGGAGGGCGGCTCGCGTTGCGGCTTCAAAGACGTCGTCGACTCCCTCGCCGCTCAAACTCGAACACTCCAGGTAACGCTTCGCCCCAACTTCCCGAGCAGCCATCTCTCCATCGTGGGTTGTGAGGAATCGCTGAGATTTTTTGCGCATTTCCTCAACTGCGACTGGATCTTCTCGAAGATCCTTTTTTAACCCTACTAGAATGATGGGGACGCCAGCGCATAGTCGTGTCGCTTCCTCAATCCACTGTCCGATGCAAAGTCGAGTCAGCGTCAAGATACGTCTGATAGCAAGCTGGGCAGCACGTACCTTGTTCTTTACGTTCTCCAAAGAATCAGGTGTGTCAACTGAGAACCCGATTAAGATGACATGAGCTTTTGAGTAAGCCAACGGCCGTAGCCTCTCGTAGTCTTCCTGACCTGCAGTGTCCCATAACGCCAATTGCACGGATTTTCCATCGACTCTGCAATCGGTTACGTAGTTTTCAAACACTGTCGGGATCTAGATGCGTTGGCATTAGGATCATTTCTAGCTTCTATTGGGTCTGACATATATCTTACATATCGCTAAAAAAAAGAGAGAGGTTAGCTAAATAGCTTATATATAAAACTTATAAACTGGGATAGCACAAACCGTAGGAAAATATCCCAGAGTGAATACACTGAGCAAACTGGTTTTACCACAGGCACCGTCACCAATAATGACTAGTTTTCTGCAATAGTAGAAAATTCAAATTAGCAACAATTCATGGCTGTATTCTGCGGGCCGAAAAAAGAGGCAAAGGAAGACGCATTGGTAATCAAGCGTTGTGAAACGGTAATCTGCCAATGGAATTAAGCTCAATTGGCTGCATGCTCGTACCTGCGGATAACGTTTTGAGAATTTGAACTAGCCATCTTGAAAGCTAGGGATCAAGAAACTTGAATAGGGGATGAATTCGGCGCCGAGGTGTTGGACTCTGTTGTCGTTGTTCAGAAGTCCACGGCCGTTCAGTCCACGAATTCCAACTAGACCCGGGTGGCACAGCCGTTGGAGTTGGAAGGAAATTCGGGAGGAGTTGGGTGCAAGCAACGACGACAAGGGACGCTTTATGCTCCTGCGCAGTGTTTATTAAGAGCAAACAACCAAAGCAGGACGGCGGGCCGCGAGACGAGTTTGGAGGCCGCAGTGGGACGAGGGCTAAGCTGGGTGTGAGACGTTCGACCGAATACGAGGGATAAGAAGGCTGCCACCAACAATTGGCAGATTTCGGGTTCGAACGTCGGGCGGTAACAGGGTCAGATCGGACAAGAGATCGTAGAGCGTAGACGCGGTGGAAGTTTCGTGCAAGAACGAAGCGGGGGACTCGAACGGACACACGGTGATGATGAGGTCGCAAGGCAAGGATGGGGTTTGGTGAAGAAGGGAAGCAGCAGAAACAGCAACAAGAGAACCTTGGCCGAGCAGACCAGACTCGAGTTGGCTTCCAAAGTCGAACTAGTTTCTGGAGTCGGGGGGTGTGGACGAAGGAGACACCAGCGCCGGTTGAACCAGCATTCGAGCGAGAGTTGGGGGCAGATGGGGCGTTCAAATGTTGACTGCTCAGGTCGGCGCCGGCTTACATAACGGCAACTCCGGGCGGGAAACTCGTCATCAGCCATTTGATGACGGGCGCGAGACCCCTTACTGCTTCCATGTACTCCGTAGTATGTACTATTCCTTGGACTTGGCCGTGTCTACGTGCCGTCACAGGTCCCGGGACTTGTGCATGGTAGGACTTGAGCGCCTGCAAGATGGCAAGGGTCCGGTTGTTTGCGGGCGGAAGTGCCTACGGACACATCAATTGATCAACCCATGTTGTAGACACCAAGCCGACAGACTTACCCATCAGTCTGGATAGACTAACGTTATGCAGCCCCAGCTCAGGCCAGCCAAGAAGATCCCAAGCCTTCGCCCAACTGGTCTGTTGGAGTTTTCGTCTTGGCCCCTGGACCTGGTTTGGTGCTGCTGCCGAACTGATTGGTTGCTGAGGCATTGGGGGGGCAATTGACATGTGGGCAGCTAGCAGTTTCGCCTCTCCACGGAGTACGGAGTAGACCAGACAGCTTCCCCAACAAGGAGCACTGGGCCAAGCAGGCAACATTGCAATACCTGCGATTACTATTGTCGCGAGGCGCACACTTTTCAATGCATCTAGCGTCCCGCCTTGCCTTGCCTTGCCTTCTCATGCTCATTCTGCGTCTCTTGGCAAACAACAACCCGCAGAGACTGCGAAGAGACCTACGGCACGCCACGTTTCCCGGTTAAACGATGCCGCCGGGCAGGTCCAATGAGGAAAATGCCCCGGTCCTGTCCTGTCCTGCACCGCGTCCATACATATGCAGCGCAGTCCGGACTTGATGGTCCCATCGTTGGCTGTTCAAGCCGTCAGGGCAATAGGTGTCCTGTTTTACATGTGTACAAGTGTTGCAACTTGGTTCTCGGCAGCGCCTGAGTCCGCAAGCATGGGGGGATGGGGTTATTCATCCCGAGACCAAGTTGAATGGACTCAATGGAGTCTCGTCCAGAGATCAAATGGAGAATTGGCCTGCCAGGATGGAAGCTTCGGAACTCGGCTACCAGTGAATTGTACTCAAAATAACGATGAGGTGGCTTCGCATCCGAGACCAGAGAGGAGGCTGTGCTCCGTGGAGCCAGCCCTTGCATTGAATGGAGGTCAACCTGCTGCAAAGCCTGCAATCTGGTATCTTAGTTAGCCCAGCCGCTTGAGATCGAGTTTGGCTAGGTAGAGGCAGCAGACGCTGGATGGGCGACCGCCCTGACTGGTCGGAAGGGCGAAACGTCTCATGTTGAGGCTTGATTGTTTAATCAGTGGTATGAACTGCATTTATGCCGACTAGCAGTTATTTCCTGCATGCCCGGACTAGGTGACTGGGGAACAGGGCTGACAGGGTCCTGCTGCAGTCTCCTCGTATTCATTGACCTCTCACGATCCAACCTCCAGACTACCTAAGTACCCAGGTGGCTGCGGTGGTCCCTGTTGATGGAGGCCGGCAATGAAGATCCTTTTCTTTGAATAATCATGTGGACTTTATCTTACCTTTGACGTTTTACTTTTTTCATACGTACTAGGATGAAGCTCCCGCTTGACCCGAATCAACTCTGACTGGGCACCACAATGTTGCAAACCAAGACGACAGCCTTGGTGTGCACAATCCGACGACATTGCAACAAGTCTTGGAGAGTCACGGGGATAGAATCACTAGGAGAGTGGTATGGGTCTGTTAAATGTGTTAAAATTCCATTGTATAGCTTCGAGGAGGCTATACAAAGAATTAGAGTGTCGTCAACTCGGAAGTTTCCCTGTTCGGGCTCGGAATCACTCAAGTGGCTCAATTGGAGCAGGGCTGCCTCAAAGCAGTCAGGCATGCTGGCCATGAGCAAAGTGGCTTGTTAGAATACCACATGTACTACATGTGAGAATTGTGGAAAAAAATAACTCCGTAAGGAAAAAAGGGGAAAAAATGTAGGTTATGCAACCTCTGGATTCTGCTCAACACCTGGTCCCTCTCCTCATCAAGGTGCGCAGGACGAGAAGAATCCGTCATCGATGTGGTCACGTGCATGTGCACGGGCTATGTTTACTGCCAATGCCGACTAGCATGACCAACCGCCACACCACAGAATGACAGAAGGGGCTCTGATTGAAGGATGAGACCCAGTTTTTATGGGCTTCAAGAATGGTCCTCTTCTGGAGATGCAGGACTAAATGTACCGCCGCCATGTAACTACACCACATCGTGACTTCCACCTTGCAGCCAGCCCGATCATCAACCTCTAAATTGAAGACGACCTCCCACCAGTCCGCCTGTTACTGCTTCTGAGACTACTCTTGCAGCAGGAGCAGCTCGTCATTTTTCCCAGGGAGAACTTCATTCCAACGGGGGAAACGCGGCTCCCCCACTGGCGTCATTGCTGACCTAACCCTCAGTTGGCCGACTCGAATCTGAGTGGTTGAAGTGGGTGAGTACTCCATGGCGTCCCTCAATTTGAGCCGCTTTCCAAGAGCATCCACCAAATCCCATCTCAACCTCAGCCGTCGCCGTCTACCTGCCGCCGCTGGCGATCCCTTCCCGGCTCCTGTCGCGTGCTGCAGACTTATTCCTAGCGTGGCTCATTATCCGTTCGAGGCTGACTTGTTGCTTTGTGCGCATCATCAGAATCGGCCATTGACGTCGCGGCGAGCACGCCCCAAACAGCCATCAGCAATCACCACCTCTTCATGGTGTCGCCCCCCGACGTTCTGTCGAACGTACGATGCCGGCCACCAACCAGAAACCGGCTCCTCCTACGCCGGCATCACCTCGAAACACAGCCAAGTACACAAACAAGGATGGATCAAAGTTCATCACTGTTCCCAAAAGCACACCTTCCGACTCCTCCCAACCCTCAACGCCGACAATTGCCGCTAAATCGGCGAATCCGCTGCCAAACCCTCCCACGCCTGACGCGCCTTTACAAAATGTAAATCGCAAGAAGCAAAAGCGTCGACAAAAGGCATTAGCAAAGGCCGCCGCCGTCGAGCAAGCAGCCAACGCTCTTCCAGACCCCTCACCAACATCAAACGGGCTCAGCGAGATCTTACCCGACGACCAAGACATCGTCGTAAGCGATGAGGAAGATATGGAGGATGCGCAAAGTGGCGAATTTGCTGCTCCGGGGACGAATGGTCATTCCCATTCGGCTCCCAAGTCCAAAAAGACCAAGAAAAAGAAGAGAAAGAATGCCGAAGAGTTTGGCGATGTTGACAACTCTCCAGTTATTTCTACTTCTGTACCCCGAATGACCAGCCAAGATGTCTCTCGACCACCGGGCATGTCACGAGATAAGATTTGGAGCACAAGCAATCACGAAGAAAGAGAACGCATTAAAGAGTTCTGGCTTGGACTTGGCGAAGACGAGCGAAAGTCACTGGTCAAGGTGGAGAAAGACGCCGTCTTGAAGAAGATGAAGGAGCAGCAGAAGCACACATGCAGTTGTACTGTGTGTGGACGGAAGCGAACAGCTATTGAGGAGGAGTTGGAGGGCTTGTATGATGCGTACTATCTGGAGCTAGAGCAGTTTGCCAACCACGGTGATGGACCACCAATGCTGCAACCACCATCACGAGACTTTCCCCCGCAACCTCGCCGTCGACTACCCTCGAATTATACCCCGCAACAGCCGTCTCATGGTAGGATTGTAGAGCACGTGGGCGACGAAGATGAAGAAGACGAGCTGGAGGAAGTTTATAGTGAGGATGAAGCGGAGGACGACGAATATAGCGACGACGAACCCCCAGAGCAGTTTCACAACCCCTACGATCGAGACATGACGGATTTCTTGGCATTTGGCAGTAGTTTGCAAGTCAAGGGTACGCAGCTTCTTGAATCTCTTCTCAGCGTATATGGTAACATGGACTTAGGCGGCATTCTCACCGTGGCGGATGACCTACTCAAAAACGACGGCAAGCGATTCATTGAAATGATGGAACAGCTAGCAGAACGTCGCATGGCTCGCGAGGAGGACGCAAGAGAACACTTCTCCCGCGGCTACGGTCATCCCAACGGCTCATACTCCGCTCCTCATAATCATCCTCCTGACGATGATGACTACGAAGATGAAGAAGAGGAGGAGGAAGATTATGAGGACAGCCAAGACGAGGAGTATGAGGATGAAGAGGTATATTCTAATCCTTCTATAATGCCGTCCGGGTTCCATACTGAGTGCTGCTGCCAGGATCAAATGACGGAAGAACAGCGAATGGAGGAAGGCCGCAGAATGTTCCAAATATTTGCTGCCCGAATGTTCGAGCAAAGAGTCCTATCCGCATACAAGGAGAAAGTGGCCAAAGAGCGGCAAGATAAGCTGCTAGAAGAGTTAGAAGAAGAAAGCAGGCAAGTTGATCAGCAAAAAGCCAAGAAAGCGAAAAACGCGCAAAAGAAAAAGGACAAGGCTGCTCAAAAGAAGCAAGCCTTGGCCGAGGAAAAGGCGCGCAAGGAGGCTGAAAAGGCTGCGGAAGAAGCTGCTCGGCTTCTAGCCGAGCAGCAGAGGCTTGCTGAACAGAAACACAAAGCCGAGGAGAAGCGAAAACAGAAAGAATCCCAGAAGAAGGCTGAGGAAGAAGCCCGATTGAAGAGGGAGGCCGACCGTCAACGACGCATTCACGAGCAGCGCGAAAGACAGGCGGAGCAAGAACGCAAAGCCCGCGAGGCAAAGGATCGCGAAAAGAAACTCAAAGAAGAGCAACGTCAAAGGGACAAAGAGGCTCGGGATCTGAGAGAGCGGGAAGCACAGGAGCGTAAAGAGAAACAGGAACGCGACAAGCGAGAAAAGGAGGCGAGGGCAGCTAAAGCTCACAGAGAGCTTTATGAAGCTGCTCAACGAGCCAAAGAAGACAAAGCAAACATCAAGTCCTCCACCCAAACTGCTCAGGCACAGCCTATTCAAATCGCAAAGCGCGGACAGGGGTATACTTCTACCCCCCTTCCGGCTGTTCTATCGCAACATCCGCCTAACCCGGCAAGCTACGCTTCGCCAAAGATTCCAGTAGCCACGCCAGCGATCCCGAAAGCGCCCACACCTATTCGATCTCGTGCGTTGTCTCAGCAGCAGGACTCTGGTCCAGGGAGCTCGGCAGCTTCCCAATCCGCATCGGGGCCTAGCCAGAATCCGTCTCCTCATCCCGGGACCCCTATTCAGGTCAGCCCCGGACCCATTGGGCAAGAAAGAAAAGCCAGCACAAGCAGCTCGATACTTGCGGCTCAGCTCAATCAACCCGTGTCACCTCACAGTATGCAAACCAGACTACCAAGCCACACGCCGCCTTTCCAAATGCCGCCGACAATGGGTTTGCAACCGCCCCCAGGATTGACACAACACCGGCCGCCACGCTTTCCCAGCCCTATTTCACACGAGGCTATATTCCCCCCCCTGCAATTTCGTCCTGGTCCTAACGTGATGATGCCGCCTCCTGGACTGAACGGTCCAGTTGCACGAGGATTTCACCAAGGCCCAATGGCGCCTCCAGGATTCAATCACGCTTCCACCGATCCGTTCCCCATGCACCAAGGGTTCCCAATGGCGAAAGAGCCTCTGATTCCTACACATACACGCCAAGGCTCTCTTGGATACGATGGGGCAGCAGGAGTGCCGACCCAACCTATTGGAAGACCTGCACCGATTGGCCGCCCTGGCAGCCTGTCTCAACGCCAATCTCGCGAAGAAGATGACGAAACTAAGCATCTGGGTAGCAGCGCTCTGGTGGCTGATGATGCACCTCCGCTGGAGGGCATGAACCCCAGTAGTCTGCGTAATCAACCCCCGGGGCCCCGTGGAGGATTTCCGACAAGCCCTTTCATGGACGCAGGATTTCCCATGGGACAGAATCCCTGGGGTCCTCCGGCGGGAGCCGCACACGGGCAGCCTTTCGCACCGCCTGGTTTTTCGAGTTCGACGTGGGGCTCTCCGGGAATTCCGCCAGGCTTTGGCATGGCTAACATGGCCTCGCCAACTCCAACCATGAGTTCCATTCGATCTTCATCCCAGCCACGCCATGTTATGGTCAGATCTTTTCTGTGTGCTGCATACAGAGAACTGTCTGCGTCTGGAGCCGCCGATGCAGAGGGATACATGGACCTAGGCGCGATCAAGTCACAGGTGGAGATTTATGCCAACGACTTCTCCCTAACTGAACAAGACCTACTGAACCTCTGTGACACCGAGGGCAACAATTCCAACGGGGGTGGAACGTTTGATGCCAGGCGTGATATGAGCGGTGCTGGTCAGCACAGGATTCGATGGACTCTGGATCAAAGTGATGCTTCAGGGCATTCATATCGAGCGGTAGGGGCACCAGGAGAGGTTTGCAGTCCTCGTACCAACCACGCGTCTTTGCGGGGCCACTAGAAGAGCTCCTCTGAAGCAGGGGGTGTCGTCATGGCGAGCCCTCTGGTTCGAAGGAGCGGTTTCCGGAGAAGTGGCAGTGGCGACAGGAATAGGGCATCGACTTCTGCATCAAACATGGCAGTGGATCGAGATTTGAAGATTGACTGGTCTATCTGGAACAACCCAATCCCACGCCTCTCTGACGGTCTGTCGTGTAGTGTGTCACATTCCAGGATCGGTGCGGCGCCTTTTGACAGAAGAATTTCTTGGAACGTACTCCGAGGTCGTAATCCGACAAGGAGACATCACAGTGACGTCTAAACTATCTTGAAAGGATGGCAACTCTCTGTAGCCGAGCAAGACATGACGTATAGCACCATGGTAGCGTCTATATTGGAATTCTCAGCGAGACGGCATTGGAAGGGAATTTTGGTGGGAGAAATGGGAGCGGCAGGCAAGGAGGTAGGGCAGCGAAACATGCACGGCATTGATCAATCAGGTGTCGACTTTATACTAGCCACTGGTCGATTCGGTCGGCCGTCATTATTATTGATATGTGGCTACCAGCGGAACGGAGGGAGCAGGACAAGATTCGGTTTTCATTACTCTATGTTCGATTAACAAATATCAAACATGCCCATTGCCGACGGTACGGAAGGGTTATTTAACAGCGCCTGCAGAGGATATTTTCATCTGCGCGTGTCTCCTAGTTGTGAATGTGTTGTGAATGTGGATGCCGCCTATCAGTGCAATGTTGAGGATGAAATCGCATGCCTTGCAATGTGGTGCTCCGCTCGTGATATAACGTCGACACTGCGATGGACGGTTTGAACTTGTCAGCCAACTACTAGCCCTAGTATCGGGGACTTTACAGCCATTAGAGCGGGTGTGAACTGGAAACGCATACTTATGCAATTACAATCCTTGGGCTTGGAAATAACCCCACAACATGTTGGAGCCAAATATCCATGGAACATATGTATTGTTTTTCTTATGCCATAATTACAAGATGCTGAGCCAAGAAAAAAAATCCCTTTCGTTTCAATCCAAACCTTGTTCTTTATAAATTGAGGGGAAGAAAGCCCCCATCATCTCCCACGATCCATTTCCTCCGCAAAGATATCTGCCATTCCACAATATAACCTGGGTGGTCGTTCGTACTTGGCCCCCAAAAAAAATCGACCATCCATCCATCCATCCATGCCCCCAATCCTCGTTCCGCTAGAAAAAAATAAGAAGAAAAAAAGTCTAAGCATGGCTAGGCTGGTCCTGGAAAGGGTTGGGACTACTAGCCTCCTGCGTCTGCTGCATGAGGGGCGCGCGGGCCTCCTGCGAGCGCTGCTTCTTGGTGGCGGCGCGGGCGAGGGCGACGGCCTCTGCCTTGGCGGCGACGCGCTTGTGGTGCTTGCGCTCGCGGCAGCAGGCAAAGGTCAGGTAGGCGAGGCCGATGGCGAAGAAGGCGGCGAAGACGATGGCGACGATGATGCCGCCCGTGTCGATGGGCTGCTTCTTCATGCATATGTCCTGGTGGGTGCTGTCGACGGTGCAGATCCAGCCCGAGAGGCAGTCGCTCGAGGTGCCCTTGGACGGCGTGCACGTGCGCGTCACGGCCTTGCCGTTCTCCGTGGCCACGTCGCAGCTCGACGTGTCGAACTCGCTGGCGCTGAAGCAGTCGGCGCCCTTGCGGACGGGGGCCGGCGTCGTCGTCGCCCGCGCGGCGAGGTGCGCGGCCGCGACGACCGCCTGCGTGGCCCGGACGGGCTCCAGGGCGGCGCGGAAGCGTTTTCGCAGCTCGTTGCCGGTGCTGTATTCCTGGCACCGCGTCGTGATGTACCGGGCTTCGAGGGCCGCCTGGCTGGCTGAGCAGCCGGCGTTGGTGTAGCACGGCGCGAGGTCGCTTGGCTCGAAGCTGGACAGCGAGGCGAGGCACCGGCTCACGGCGGCCTGGTTGCCGCAGTCGGTGTACTCGGCGAGGGCTTTGCTGTGGACGCGGAAGCACTCGTTTCGGGGGAGGGCTGCGGCGGTGCTGGCGAGCAGCAGCGCGGCCAGGGAGAAGGACCGCATCGTATATGGAGCGGTGAGACGCTGGATATTTTTTTTAGCTGTTCTTCCGCGAGCGGGCAAGTCGCCTTTCGTCCGACCAGCGCCGATTCTTGCAACACTTTTTTTTTTTTGGTGGTTTGGATCAGGGGTCTGGGATCTTCACTCGGACGGCAAAAACTGGACCCCGTAGGAGAAATAGTTGGAGTCTGGGTGCAGCGCCGGCAGGGACAGGTGCGAGGCAATCGAAAGGAAAAGGAAGGACGGGGAGGGAGACGCTTCTGTCAAGGAGACAAGGGGGAGATGGATTGTCGACTCTCTGTGCTTGGAGGTGTTCGGAAAATGGGGGGAAAGGCAGCCAACAGAGGACTGAGGCTCTCGTTGGGAAGCGAAAAGGGAGCGCGGCTCGGACCCAATAGTTGGCATGCCATATGCCGCGCGATGGGTCCATCAATTGGACGACGTAAAGTGGTGCCCTCATTTATGAGAACGGTCCGGTATGGAGATCTCCATGGAGGCGCTGTCAGCCCTAGCTCAGTCGGACACTGTGGCTGACGGGTTTGCCGGGCCAGAGCACTTGAGCGCCATGGGACCAGGCATCAATTGCTGTCAGCAGGCACTGGCCTTTGCGTCGATAATTGGGCTGTGCGGCAGCGGATGGCCGATGGGCAACCAGCCTTGTACCACGACGGGGAGTCCATGACTGGCAGCAACTGGCAGCAAGAAGCATCGATGTCTACCATGCACATGTGTACTATTGACAGTTAGCCTCCATTACCCTGGCCCCGTTTTGCTGTCGACCGGTCAGTTTCCCAGCTATTTTTAGCACCTCGACCTGCTCCATAGAGGACTTGCTTGCGAATTGATTCTGTACAGAGTACGGAGTAATTTGTCTGGTAATTCCCTGGGTTCTGGGGCTCCAAATATCCCGACGTGTCCAGTCGCACTCATCAGCCAAACGTCTCATCTTTCAAGGACAGGACGAGTCTTCGCCACTAGGGGGGAGGGCTGCAGAATCTGGGGTCCGGAGCCATCCGTCCCCCTTTGTCACACCTAGAGTAAGGGGGCGGCAGCGCATGGCCACTCGTCGACGCCGTTGAGCCATCACTCGGGCGGCATCCGCGGCCAAGGTAAAATCATTGATGCGTTACAACTTTGCCGGCTATGCAAACTCTTGCCAGTTGTGTGTTGAATCCTGTCCTTTTTCTCACCACAGTTTTGCCGTTGCATTCCATTAGGAAACCCGGCTCTGTGGCATGGACTCGGTACCCAAAGGCTGTGCACGAAAAAGCGCAGTTGCGTGAACAAAGAAGAAGGAGAAAGGTGGTCTGGTCTGCGGCACCGTGCGGGTCTTTCGAAGGCCATCGATGGGCGCACCGTCGTTAGCCAACGACGTCATCGCCCACGACACCACTTCGTCATCGCGTCCGCTCGACTTACCCTACAAAGCAGGTCGAGGTGCCAATTTCATGTCCAGCATTAACCTTGAACGACTATATAAGTAATTCTCCCTGGTGCTCCGTTCTTCAAGCTCGCAAACCTTTATCGTCTTGACTACCCGTTCTGGCGATTTTCCCAGTCCATTCCCCCCAATCAACCCCCGAGTATCCATCCCGAGACCCATCATCGCCATGCCGCTTATTGTGCCCGGAATCACCAGCCAGCCCGGCAATAAGACTGAAGAATGGCAAAACAAGCTCGTCGGCAAGAAACTATCCGACACGGAGCACACAGAGACGGTAAGCCAGCCGAAAGGAACAACACTCGCTCCCTACTTCGTATGTCCACGTGCTTACCGTCGCAGCTCTTCTGCAAGAAAGACCTCCCGCAGGAGCACCGCGTCATTGGGCCCGGCCAGGCCGTCACCATGGACTTTAAAGAGAACCGGCTCAACGTCCACCTGGACGATAAGGGTACCGTTTCCCACGTCACCCACGGGTAGTCCCTCGAAGATGCCTGTCCCTGGCCAAGTTTGATGACCCCGGGTCCCGGGACGTCCAACAAGCGCTTGGAGACGTGTGTATTTTACGCCTGCACTCCAACAAAGTAGAGTCTTTTAATAAACACATTTTGCTTCAACACCAGATCCATCCATTCAGCTGCCCTCATTCAATCCATATGACTCCAAGTAGATGCTCGCCAGAAGCAACCTCCCGTTGCCCCCCCGTATTGCATGTCGCGTCTTTACCCCGCCATCACAAGCCCAGCGGGGGCACCAACTTTTTGCCTCGCATCGACCTCAAGAGTCTCCCACCCCGCCATCCATACACCAAGCTCAACACCAAGTTCTAGAAACAACCCGCCCCCAAGATGTTCAAAAAGGAGTACGTCGAGCCCGCCAGTAGCCAGACGCAAGGCCCTTCCACCAAACTGACAAGCGCAGCATCGCCCCCTCGCCCAAGCAGAAGCTCAAGTCGTCGGTGCAGCGGTCCCTCCGCCAGTCGCTGCTCACGACGTACCCCCTGCTGACGCCGCACATTGACGAGATCCTGCCCAAGAAGGCGTCGCTGGCGAGCATGAAGCTGCCCGACCGCAACACGCTGTACGTGCTGGACGCGGAGCCGCTCTTCTACCAGCAGGACGGCGCGGCCGCCATCATGCCGCACCTCAGGCTCGTGCACCGCTTCCCGCAGAGCTTCCCGACGATCCGCATCGACCGCGGCGCCATCCGCTTCGTGCTCATGGGCGCGACGCTCATGGCCCCCGGCCTGACGTCCAAGGGGGGCAGGCTGCCGGTCGAGGGGGCCGCCGCGCGCCTCGAGGACGGCAGGGAGATGGACCAGGGCGTCGACGCCGACGGCCGCTGGAGCAGGGAGCTGCACAAGGGCGAGCCCGTCGTCATCATGGCCGAGGGCAAGCAGGAGGCGTGTGCCGTGGGCATGCTGGTCTGCGGGACCGACGAGGTCAAGGCCAAGGGTAAGGGGCCGGTCGTTGAAGACGCGCATTTCTTGGGTGATGGGTTGTGGAAGCTGGCTTTCGATTGAAATACTGCGAGTTTGCTGCCGTGTGTGGTGCATAGCATACCGGGAGGACGAGAAGGATGGCTTTCTTGGGCTGAGATACATGTATATTTATGACCATTGACGACAATGACTGGGAGTCGAGGAATGGATATGAAATAGCATAAAGCTGACGATGGAATGCGCTCTACCGACGCTGCGAACGAGGCATATCTATTTGAACCGTCGACGATTCTGGACGGAGAGCGGTCTCGGTCGATGGTTTCTTGGTCAAGCAAAGAAATGGTGTTGCGAATGATGATCAAAATACCGCGTCTAAATGCACTTCCGCTCATGTAGATCCTCTCACGACGGTCGCCTCTTTCCCTTTGCCGCTTGCCCCTTTATCCTTGAGTTTATTCTCCTGGGTAGTGTCCATGTTGGTCTATCACTTTAGCTTATGGAGAGGCCGCCAAGGTATCTAATGTCGGTGCAGTTACAGTACATTTAGTAAGGACATATGTAGCAAGATATTGATACGCAGCACTTGCGCCTTTGATTAGCATTGTAGTGAGAACGTCCATGGCCACTCTCAGATCCCGATACTCCATGATCAATCGGCCAAAGCTCAAACACAGCCAGACACCAATCCACACGGGAAGAAGACGCACGCCCAGACATTAATATCCATCAGAATCATGCGTCAAACCACTGATGCTCTTTAGCCAAGGCCCACCAACATTCTCTAATTTCACATCGACCCCCCCGGCCCTTCTTCACTTGTAATACTCATCCACCCACCTCTTCATGGTCCCCAAGATGTCCTCCACGACCCTGCGCAGCGCCGGGTTCGCCGCCGCATTCCTGATCAGCATGTCGCTGCAGTGCACGCCCCCGGGGAGCACCCAGACGGGCGCCTCGGGCGTGAACGTGAGCGGCCCGCCGGGCCTCTCGTCCGCCGACACCGTCGCCGCCCGCCACGGGTCCAGCTCGCCGTTCACCCACATCAGCCGCGTCGTCTTGACGCGGCCCCAGCCCCCGGTCCTGCGGTTGGTCTCGCGCGCGCTCCGGCCGAGCGCGAGGCCGTACGTGCGGTTGCCCTCCCGCGGGAACATGTTGCGGCACTGCATGCGGGCGTAGTCGAGGCCCACGTGCTTGGATGCGAGGCCGGTGATGTCGTCTGGCCCGGAGACCTGCCACCACTCGAACCTGCGAGGTTGATTTAGCTGGATGTTAACCTTCTTTTTTTTTGGATGTCTGCGCGGGTTCGGACTTACGGCTCGTTGCATAGTAGCCAGTACCACTGTCTGTTGGCCGTGTTGTTGACAGAGAGATCCGTGTACATGGGGTTGTCCTTGTTGTTCATGTCCATGCACGCTGCGGTGTTGTTGTCTGCCCAGTAGCCGAATTCCGCGCATGCTGGGTGCTCTTGTCAGTGTCTGGGAGTTCTGTTGTTGTGAGCGCGGGTGACTCACCTCTTGGTAGATAGACTTCTTTGGACCACTTGGCGAAGCCGTCGAGGGCTTTGGAAGTACCGACACCCTCTGGCCCTGGAACAGCAGGTCGGTCGCTAATTATGCGACTGCTTTTCCGTGGGAAGACGTTCTGTTTTGTACCACGTTAGATGATGTTCAGGTATGCTCGAATATGGACCAGTGTAGCGTGGGATAGTACCTCGAGGTAGTTGCACATCTGGTACAGGGCGTTTGGTTTCTTCGTCTTGAAGAACACGGTCCTTTGCCATTCTTGCAGACCACCTGCGAGGGCCGCGCCGAAATCGTCGTCATGAGTGAGTGATTCCAGGCCGAATTTCTTCTTCAGGGCATGTTTTTCGTCCTTTGTGCCGTCAGATAGGATGCCGTCAATGTGTTTCATGACCCCTTGCATATCCGTGCTGCAATTTTTGGGCATGGCCTCCTTGATGGGCTGGTTATATTTCCAAAAGTTGGTAATCGCTTCGACGACGGCGCTTGAGCAGTGATATGCCCAGAAGGTGCCCGGGGCCAGGTGGTGCGTCCATGCCGCGAGGGCGCCAGAGTACGAGCAGCCGGTTAGAACCCACGGTGCCTTGGTTGGCTTTGAGGTCCCCCCGAGGTCGAATGGCAGCTCGACGTTGTGGGCAAAGTAGATTAGGTCTTGGATGGCGTTGTCGAGGTTGAGGTACTGGAGGTTGGTGATGGTTAGGTTGTTGAAGGGAGAACTCTTGCCCCAGTATCGGTGCTCGAGCACAATGGCGGCACCGCCATTGGTTTGAGCAAATCTCCCGACGAGGGAATTTTTGGTCGCATGGAAGGCATTGGCCTCGTGCTCAGCAGGCGCGTTGAGTATAATCGGGGACCCGGGCCCGGCCCAGTCATCCGCGTTGTACCAATAGCGTTGGGAGAATCTGCCGAGCTCGGGTTTGTTGTGGTCTATGAGCTGCTGGAAAACGCCTTCGTGGGTTGGGCCATAGGATCTCTTGGTCAAGCTGCCATCGTTGGGTGGAGGAGGTGGTAGGCCGTTCAGGTGAATCCGGCTGATGCGAGCCCCTGATGGCACAGCGAACAAGAGGTTTGCTGCTATGCCAACGAAACTACTTACACGCATTGCTTAATATGTCTGGCAGACGAGTATTTTGCAGTAAATTCCGGGGGGCCACTCGGCTGGAAGATGGCCAAGGCAAGATGAGTTGGGAAAATAGCTTTTGGCTCGAGGCGGCAAAAACTGAAATCTATATACTTTGCAGTCACCTTGATCACATCTTCTTGATGGCGCCATGTCGTCCCAGCCTCCTAGTCGTAGTACTAGTATCAGTTAGTGGCCTGCTATATTCGCCATGCCATATAGCAAAGATGGCCCGTCGACTTTCTATTACACGCTTGTTTTTGGGGCAACTCGACGAATAGCAACGTAATCCAGGCACGACACTGGTCAAATCACACGCTTACAGGGGGGCAAATGAACAAAATACGCCTCAAACTGCTCAGGCTCTGCAGCTGCGTGCCTGATCTGCCGCCATCCAGGTTCCATGGCTTCGGGTCTCGTGCCGAAGTGGGTGTTGCGACGCCACGGGAAGATTGTGAGCTGCCCGCATCGGAAACTAGGCTCATGTTAGCATCTGTACTTGCGAGGCGGTACGGCTTCTAGTGAGGTCATGGCTGTAGAGACTAGAGTTGGCGTTAAAAGAAGGTTGATTGCAATTTGAAGTCAAAAAAGGGGGCGGCTTCTTTGCTGTGGCTCTAGGTGCTTTTTAAACTAACCATGTATTGCCATACGTCAAGTCGTTACGCAGGGAGACAACTCATCAACACTGAATCATCAAGTATATCATGTAGCCACTGAGAGTCTATGCAGTTGAAACTAACATGTCTCGTCCGAAGGAGGTATTGCCATCTTCATAGCATGGGGACTTGATGCATGACAGCTTGCTCCGTACATGCGCAGACACTCAGCCTCCGCATTCATGATGGCCTAACACGACACCTGACATCATTGGAAATGGGGTAGCCGGGACCTTTTGGCCTAGAATTTAAACCAATCGCACTAGTTGCGTATCTTGCCATGCTGAAATCGGGCGCCTTGCCCCTTGTCGCGGGTCGTCGGTGCAAGAAGACGCAGTAGTCATGGCAAAAAACGGGGCAGAAAAGAGATTCACCATCATACGGCGTTGAAAGATTACGGAAATGATGCGGAACTACCCGGATTTCCATGGGAACTATATTGCATTGACTTTGCTATCACCGGTCCTGGAGGACTGACGCACCAGACTCGAGAGGCTCACCATCCATGCACCCCAACATTTGAAGCCTTTTCGCCACAGAAATAGCACTTGAGCCTATTCGACGTCTGGGCAGCATCTAAAGCACGGAGACTGCAGATTATAGAGTTAGCGACAAACGACTCGAACAGTAGGATGAAAGGCAGTGGTCACCTACTTGGCCAACAACATGCTACACCATCAAGATCATCAGCACCTCTTTAAACAACAAGATTATCAAGGGAAAATAACGTAGCGTACCCAGCCACTGGCGCAAGGCGGTGGAACAGGAATACAATCATTGTTACAATCGGCCGGTTGGGGCACAGCAGAAACAGACACTGCGGCCACAAGAACAAGTCTCACAAGGCGGTTCATATTGATCTGCGTCCGTTTGTTGCTGCTAGATGGTCAAATAAAACGCAAGTTTATGATGTTTTTGTGTCGTTCGGCAAGGACTACTTATGTAGCGCATGATACGATTTGACGGCTGGACCGTGGTCGCCCGAGAGGGTATTTATTCTTTCTGGCAGCATTCACGGACCTATTGACTGCATTCTTCATGCGGCACCGCATCATTGGACACGAGACTACGTGCAACCATGCCACGCATGATCCGAGAACGGTGTACGGCAAACACAACACCACCGCATGAGCTGAATGCCAGTAGAAGCCCTGATTGGGTGGCCGTCACTCAGCTTTCTCGTACACACGGAACGTCTTGCCGATGGGCGTCGCGGATCTGTACGACGAAGCGAGCCATTCCCGACATTGACAGCCAAAAGGCGATGCATGCACCTGTTTGTTTCCAGAGTACGAATTGCCAAGAAGAAAACTAGATTGCGTCTATCGCCCTTGTCCTAGTGGAAAAAAAAGAACATGGCCCCATCGTTTCCCCGCCAAACTCAGAAGCCATGAACCACGGTGGTGTTTCTCACAGCCCAAGTTCCGAGTACGCATTCAGGGCCAACTGCCCGCCCAGATGGGCATACAGCACATTCCCGGCAGAAATCTCGCCCGATCGAATCAGCCCCATCATGCCGGCGAGGCTCTTGCCCTCGTAGACGGGGTCGGTGATGAAGGCCTCGGTCCGGGCGCCAAACTTGATAGCGTCGACGGTAGCCTCGTCCGGGACGCCGTAGACGCCGGCGTTGTAGTCGGTGTTGAGGACGACATCGCGCTCCGTGACGTCGTGCTCGTCCAGGCCGATCCGGGAGGCGGTGAGCCTCGCGATGTGGAGGACCTGGGAAAAGGTCTCGCGGGGCCGGCCCGAGGCGTCGATGCCGATGACGCGGCGCGCGCGCGAGCCCTGCTTCTGGGCGAGCTTGAAGCCCGCAATCATGCCGGCGAGCGTCGAGCCCGTGACGGCGCACACGATGACCGTGTCGAAGAAGACGCCCATCTCGCGCTCCTGGGCCTCCACCTCGAACGCCCACCGCGCGAAGCCGAGCCCGCCGAGGGGGTGGTCCGACGCGCCGGCCGGGATGGCGTACGGCCGGCCGCCCCGGGCCTCGACGTCGGCCACGAGCCGGGCCAGCGTGAACTTGTGCTCGATGCCAAAGGTCGACGGGTCCAGGCGCACGTCGGCGCCCATGAGCCGCGAGAGCTGGATGTTGCCTACCTTTTCGTAGCCGGCGTCGTGCCAGTCGACCCAGTGCTCTTGGACGGTGGCGGCCTTGAGGCCCAGCTTGGCTGCTACCGCTGATACCTGGCGCGTGTGGTTTGACTGCACGCCGCCGATGGACACGAGGGTGTCGCAGCCTAGGGCCAACGCCTCGGAGGCGAGGTATCTGGGGTTTTGGTGTGAGCTTCACGGCTTGCGGGGGATGAGGGGGATGGGCAGCCGGGGCTTTTGGCGTAGATGTTGACTTTTCCTCCGAGTGCCTTGGACATGCGTGGCAGGTGCTCGATGGGCGAGGGGCCGAAGAGAAATGACTCTCGGGGTATGCTGGCAAAGGGCTCGGGCAGGGTGATAGTGGCCATGATTTATTTCGGCTTTTGGACACGGAATGCGAAACGAATTGGAAGAAGCGCCATGTTGTCCCTGTTCCTCGGGGCAGCACCTCGATTTATATGTCCATGTCTGGTTCAAATGTTGCTGGTGGACAAGCCGGGGCGTCACGGCCCAAGTCCGCCGCGGCGGGGCGCTGGTGTCCGCCGAAGGCGCAACATGGCGTTGCTTGGGCTGACATGGTTACAACTTAAAGTATTGACATATGTACAATTGATGGCTGCCAACATGTGTCCCCCTTTCCCCTATTCACATACAATATACATATACACATCTCTGTTTTCCCCTCGCCTCTACTCCCTAACCGCCGTGTGTCGGTTCAGTACACGCCCGGCACGATCCGCCACTTGACCTGCTTCTTGTACTTGTCCCAGTCGGCGCCGTACTTGTCGCCGCATGCCGCATCGTCTCGGCGCTCGCGGTGGACAAGCAGGACGGCAAAGTACAGCGCGTACAAGTACGTATACACCATCCCCCATCCCCGCGCCGCCCCCTGCGTCACCTCTCGGCCGTCCGCCATGGCAGAGCCTCCCGCGCCGGCGTTGGCCACGGCACTGCCGGCAGGCAACACCACGTAGCCAGCGATGCCCGTGGGCAGCGTGAATGGAGAGGCTTGCAACCAGTCGCCAAAGTAGTTGATGTGGCGCGCCACACCCCACCAGCCAGACGTGAGAAGGCGAGTGCCGCGCTTGGTCTGTATGTACGACATGCGCGCCACTCGCGGGTCGTCTGGGGACCGTCGAAAGAGGGCCTTTTGGTTGTTGGCCGCGCGGAAGATGAACAGGCCAATGGCAAAGGCGGCGCCGATTGCTGCGATTCCCGCCGCGCCCAGGTCGACGGGGTGCATGGACAGGTACCGGCATTGCGTCGAGTACAAGAAGGGCACCCAGGCGATGTCTCCAAACGTGAGCATGAACCCCAGCCCATCCGTGGTAATGTCCATCATCCCGAGCAGGCCCGTCTCGGCATATTGCCCCTCAAGGACATAGTACATCTGCACCGCTGTGATGAACAGAATGCTGTTGGAAAGGGATCCGTAGTTGCGGTACTGCTTCGCGACAAAGGCAAGGTCGAGAAGAGCCCATCCCGTCAGGCCGGGCCGCATTTCAAGCCACGCCTTTAAGTCAATCTCGCCAAAGAAGGGGAGGGTGACGCGGGGGTTCAGTTCGCGACCAATGTAGAAGTCGTAGATGACGCTTCCAGTGCGCCCCCCTCGAGCTAGTTCTCGCAGGTGCTTGTTGCCAGGCTTGACGGCAAAGCTTTTAATGTACACAAAAGCCGAGATGGCGTACGCAAGCATGATGCTGGCCGTCAGTAGCTGCAGGTAGTTGCTGTCGATAAAAGTCCAGACGGCAAAGTCTGCGCCGTAAATGTAGGTCCCCGCGGCACATGCGGCTAGTTGCACCACCGTAGATGAGAATGCTAACGAGGCCCGTCGAGTCAGCACGGCTCTTGTGGCCATTTCCCGAGTTTTGCCGTCTCCCAAAATCTGCAAACGTACCGTTGAACCGATATTTCAGGGGTCGACCCGACTCTCTCAACTTGGTGCCGTATACCTCGGTGGCCGGGAGCATGCGGTAGAGGAGCAGGCTGAGAAGATAGTAGGCCAGCATCCAGCCGGTTGCTTTCCAGCTTGCGAAGCCGGCGAGGCCATTTTCCGGCCACGGAACCTGGGATTTGAGCACCTCCCATGAGAGCGTTTGCGGGCTTAATAGTGCGGGTGCAGGACAGCCAGTCATGTCATTGCAAGTGAAGAAGAAGGCATACAGCAGAGCTGGCAGACCAAAAACGATGGCAGTGGCACCTAATCTGGATTCAAACGTTGGCCGTGGTCAGCTTCGTCTCAAACAGGGGGGCAGAGAATAGGAGAAGGAGTGAGTCTTACGGCCCGCCAAACTCGTACTTTGGCTTTTCTGGCGCAGATTTAGCCATGCTCTGCGGGAATTCGAGATTTCAATGGACCAAGAAAAGTTCGAAAAAAAAAAAAGGCAGACCGAATAATTGAAGAGCATGTCAGCTTTATTCATCCTGGCAGGATTTGATAACTCCAGATTCGGACCCACACCGACGTTCCTCACCCCATCCGGAGTCCGGGGACCCGACGGCGCCCGAGTGGATACATGCAAGTCCAAGGTCCAAGTGTAAAAACGAGTATCCATGGGCACCCTTGGTGAAAATTACGGATATCCACGGGTACCCGTAAAAGCAAATGTGTAAAAAAGGAATAAACCGTAGGCATCTATAAATTCAAATAGGTACATGTAAGAATATGTGTTTATTTAAGACTTGGGGGATTTATCAAGAAGTCAAAAATATTTAAAGTTATTATTTCGGTGTCGCGGCCTAGAAGGCCCCGTTTTTTCCCCATGCGGCCGCCTTGCCATCTTGAGCTCTTCCAGCTTAACCCAAGACCCAATCCCCCCAAACGTCAACCAGACTAACTGCGGTACACAAAGCACCGAGAGTCTGGCTGGAGACCTGCCAGAGGTTCCTCCACTTTTGCAGTGTAGCTGCACATGTCGCGGCAAGTGCAAAACAAAGAAGCAGGAAATCAATTAAAACAAGTAGTCACGGTGGCAGTTCGCTCCAAGTTGACGCTCTGATTGGTGTAAATATTCATTAGTCATCCAAACCGAGAAGACGTCTGCATGAGCATCCATTTTCGTCAACACTGCCAAATCCACGCACGGGAATCTAATTTGGCACCCGAATCCTTTCCATGGCACCCTTGTTGAAATGGGCAAGAGGTCTTCTCCGCCGCTCCCCGTTGCGCCCTTTACAGTTTCCCGCAACGGGCTTTGAGGTAATCCCCGAAACTGAGCTGCTCGAGGAAGAAAACTACAAGGAGTTCAAGGCCGGCACTTACTGTCCAGTGAACATCGGCGATGTATATGCCTCAAATACGTACCAGGTCCTTGGTAAGCTTGGGTTTGGATCAACGTCAACAGTTTGGCTCGCCCGTAACCTGCAGTATGTCGACGGCACGCGTACGCGTTGACGGTTGGTAAATACTGGCCAACGCCAAAATTAGTAATCGCGGATATTTTGCCTTGAAAGTGTTTAAGCGAAACCATTACGACACGTGCAAAAATGAGTTTCAAATGTAAGACTCTATAGAGAAGGCGAATCCTTCTCATCCCGGACATGGACATGTCAGAACTGCCGTGGGTATGATTACCATGGAGCGGCAAGGCCAATGCTATCCGTGTGTCGTTCAACCGCCGATGTGGGATAGCTGGAAAGACCTTCTTTACCGAAATCCAAGTGGCCGGTTCTCTGTAGCACTTCTAAAGGGAGGACTTCGACATCTTCTGCTGGCTCTAGACTATCTACACACAGAGTGTAGACTCGTCCATACAGGTATATTCTACGGATCTTGTGCATAGGGATACAAGTTTCTAACATGAGAGTGGTAGATATTAAAGCAGATAATATACTTCATGCAATCGCTGATAAAGGAATCCTCGAGTCCTTCGTCAAGGACGAGATGGAATCACCCTCTCCGCGCAAATTCGTCAACAACACCCCTATTTACATGTCTAGACGGTTCGGCCTGCCTAGGGAGTTTGGTAGGATCGTGCTCAGTGACTTTGGAGAGGTGGTGAAGGGAGATGTGAAACGAAACCACAACGCGCAACCGGACGTTTATAGGTCACCTGAAGTGATGCTCAAGGCTGCATGGAGCTACCCGATCGATGTGTGGAACGTAGGGGCCATGGTCTGTCTCTCCATACACGAGTGCTTGGAGTTCATGTGTTTACTGACTGGCTCCATAGATCTGGGATGTATTTGAGGGTGGCCACTTATTCCACGGCCTGGATCCCTGCCCAGAAAAGGGCTACTACACAACCAGGGCGCATCTTGCCGAAATTATCGGGCTTCTTGGTCCACCGCCCCTGGATCTTCTCCGGCGGGGGACCCGAAGCAGAGAGTTTTTTTCGGAAGACGGTGGGTTTTTGGCCATTTGCGGGTTATGGAGCGTCAGACTAATGCTGTCTTTTGAACACAGGCCAATGGATTGCGGATTGCCCTATTCCTCAGGGCAACAGCCTGGAAAAGGCGGAGCTTGTTCTCGCCGGGAGGAACAAGGAAATGTTCCTGAATTTTATAAAGGGGATGCTGACGTGGCGGCCGGAGGACCGCAAAACCCCAAAACAGCTGCTTGACGACCCTTGGCTACAATCTTGGGAGATATCCGATTAGAGACTCGAAAAAGGGCCTAGAGAAAAAAGCCTGCACAATTCAGAAATCAGAGGGTTGAAAGATGCCAGGAAAGCTGATTTGGATGACGTGACTGCCAAAGGCTTGAAAGACGTCGTGTGTGGGCCTCCAGAGGCCCTTGACGTGATTAATCCGTCACCTGCGAGCTATGGAAGCTGCTCTTTTACTGGATGAGGATGAAACGGCTCCTAGGATCCTAAACCTTCTCTACAATAGCATTGCTACTGCTTACGACGAAGTTATCGCCTTGTTGTAGTGGATCAGTCGTTCCTCTCCTCTGTGGATACCCTCTCCATTGGCAGACGGTTGCCTAAATGTTATAAATGGCCCTCGTATACCGATGCACCCATCCATCTTGATACAATCTGCAGCCTGTGTTTTTTTCACATGACTGATACCAAGCTGTTGTGTGAGCTCGGATTTTGGACAAGCTTTGGATTATAGCCATGGGCGTTGTCCAAGTTGTTAGTCGTTTTGATAGCACCAACTCTACCATAGCCACGTAATGCACTACAAGTATATTGCTGTAATACGTTAAATACCAGTGAATTTAGTGAATTACCGCCAGAAACTAGTAAAAGCCGTCTCACGACAGCGTCAGCTAATGATTACACGAAAGTAAGATATAGTTTATGCCGGTGACACACACGGTAAACTTAAACATGGACGCACAATATATAGTAACGAGGTCTGAAATCTCTTTTATTTTGCTATTTTAAAATACGTCTTGTCCAGTCCGTGGCGTCACAAATATTCGCTCTGTACCATGTTTCGCGTTGCCATGGATGTGGCGACCGAGCCCGTGCAGGTCGACTCCAGACAGCCATCATCAATCACAAAGACCTCTTCGTGGACCTCACTGCCAGCGGAAATACGCCAAAAGATACTAAGCCAGGTGAGCTTGTCCGCCTCTGGGAGGGGACACAAGGGCCTGGGCTCCCCAAAGGTGGCTCGATTCACTGCAGTCTGCCGGGAGTGGCAGGTCTTCTTTGAGACGTGCACATTTCGGCGTCTTGTGCTTAACCCCGACTCTCTCGGCGAGTTTGACGCAATCGTCAGACGACACGACGCTCGTTTGGGGTATATCCGAAAACTCTGGCTTCGGGTTCAGCTCCCGAGGTACGAGTGTCCCGATTGTGATGAGACGGAGGACGAGGCAACGCAGCGCTGGTATGTTGGGCAGCCACATCTCCTACTCTGATACTGGTGTCAATACTTGGGTGCTAACCAAGTCGACCCTTGCAGCAACAACAAGATATTCACAACGTGTATTCGGTCCCTGCTGGGAACCCTCAAGCTCTGGGATCCCGTGAGACATGGGGGAGAGGGACTGGCGCTGATGTTGTCTGCTTCCTCGCCCAGCGATTCAGAGCATCGGTTTAAGCGATGCGAAATCAGGGACGATTATCCATTTCACTACACCGAAGACCTGTATTCTGCACCTGGCATGGCTTTTTTTCACCGGGTCAACATCGCGGGTTTGTTCAGCCGTTATTTTCATCGCGACCGCCTTCCGCCATGGGGCGATCAACATCTCAAAAGGGTGCAGGGAACTCCGCTCCGCTTGGAACGACAAAGGGGTGAGCGCGGCCGCTTCATCAGTCCATGCAAGAGTTTTCCTGCCGTGCCCATAGTCAGAAGCCTGGTCATGCGTAGACAGTTTCGCAGGGATATTCACGTAAGGGCCTTGTCTTGGCTACTCGCTCGAAGCTTTGTGGCATTGGAGTGGTTGCACTTGGAGAGGACTGTTTCCCTGGAGCCCCAGGAGGAAATTTCCTTCCATCAAGGTATGAAGACGCGGACCAGTCGTTACGGCGAGTATCTGGCGAAGCTAACAGGCTTTTTTCTCAGGCTTCCAACTGCACCTGCTGCCCTCCCTGCCGAAAACACTGCGCCGACTCTCCTTTACGCGGTGGAAAATCCCCAAGACTGAGCGCTACTATGATGTCGAGCAAGTGGGATCTAGAATTCCTCCCCATGACCAAGACTTCCTGCCTCGGGAGATGGCAAGGCTCTCTCAACGACTACAGCAGCTCTGCCCGCCATGGCAGATGGACACCGCTGCCTTTCTTCGGTCCCTCGTTCAACTGAGGGAATCACCAGGGATGCTTGAAAGCTCCCTAAAACACGTAATCCTGCGTTGTTTGCTCCCAAGCTCCCAAGAAAGCAGAGAAAATTTCGAATCGCTGGCACTCCTCGCAGCCAATGCGGCTCTGTCGCTTCCCCAACTGCAAGTCATGGAGCTATGGGGTACCTGTCTTGACGGAGCTGAAAGCAGGGCCTACATCTTCCAGTACGCTCGCCAAGACCGTCGAGCCAGTATCGTCTGGAGGAGCTGTCAAGAGGCCATGGTGGCTCGGGCGCGGATTCTCCGCCGCTGGACCGACGTGGCCCAGAAACACTCGTATTCGACTCTCGCGTACAAGTTTGTCCCCTTTGCCGAGACCAATGCGGAGATTTTCTGGTCTGATGGAGCCTGTGTATATCAGCATCTACTGCTCAAAGATTTATTGTTTGATCCAATTACGCGGGTCATCGTGGAGAACGAGCCTTATCAATGGCGTGGTTTATCGAGGCAAGGTGATGATGCTCTGGAGAATCTCGGAACTCCAAATTTGTTGGGTGGCCATTTATGAAGAATATCCCTGGACCGGATACCAGCCTCGCGTCACTGCAAGCGGATCTCATTGCTCGGGATGCTGAAATCAATGCCTATCTCGAGCAGGATTATGGGCAGCACAGCGTTGCGATATATCCATTTGCCCTACTGATGAGGCCTTTCTGTTGTTGACGTCTGGGAAGAGTCAAGGCAGATCCGCCTACCATTCTTAATTTGGTTTCCAAGATTCTTTCGTAGGTCTCCTGCAGGGGCGAGCAGCTAAGAGGCACCCAAGTCTGGGAATTGCCAATGGCTGCTATACATGCTTTTACTTGGAGCGCAGTGCCGCAAACATTTCGCGCCACGATCTGCGAGCACATTAGCACGGGAATATTGCAAACGCCGGGGATAAGGTTGTTCTTGCCGTCACACTCTCCCCATAGAACCTTTCAACTTCTCTTGCGAGCTTGCTTGTCGTCTGTAGCGTGAAACCCCGTCTCATCAGCGTTCACCAGACACAATGTCCAGTCGTGGACTTCCTAGAGTGTCTCCCTCGTGTGCGCGCTCTTGGGCAGGATAGTCGAACTGGTTCTCACCTCTGGTATACCACGTGTATGCTCGCAATACGCTCACCCACCCCGTGGACGAATCTAGACGCCTTGTACCCAGTCCATCGTTGGCGGCCTGTCGGCTGGATTTTCTTAAATCAGAAAGCCATCGCCTTCACCGATCGTTTATCCCCAGCACCGCAGAACGATCCACATGTTGTGCATGGCCAAGAAACCGGCCGATCACCGCTCTTGGCTGGCCTGCCCGTACGAGAGATGAACAAAAAAGTTGGACTTTTCAATGCGCAGTCTAGTGGTCTAGAATCTGCTTTCACCAAAGTCATTTCTTTGGTGTGTGTGTGTGTGTGTGTCTGCGGGTTCTGCGGCTCGACATCGACATGATCGAAAACATGCCACGGGAAACGCCCATGGTATGACTATGACTCCTCGAATCGGGCCATGTAGTAAGCACCACCCATCACTCGCAACTTGGGGCAATCACGATTCACGAGTGAGGAGGCAAGCTGCATAATCGCAACACCTACCCTACCCGCAAAGTGTAGAAATGGGTAGTACAGAGACATCTTGTCCATTCACCACCATCAACTCGTGACGTCGGGGTGGGAACGGCCAAGGGTGGCAATGCTGGTCCTGCAACTACAAGGGTCGTAGTGGTGGCGCGGAAAATATTAAACATTGAAGCTTCTCGGTCTGTTTCCGGGATGACCTGAGTCCATGTTTTCAGCTCGTCCAGATCAGATAAGGCGAAGGCAAGAAATGACGTCCCCATTCCGTTGTCTGGCGAACTACATGTGCAGATGATGGCTTATATTTTTACGTTTAGCGTATCGCGCTATTAATCTTGGCTTACTATTCGTAATTTTTTTAATATAAAAATACTTAAATATATATAATATAATATGCAGAGCGACGCTAGGAAGGTCTAATACCGGGCATGCAAGGTCTAGAACGAGCAATATCGCCGCCTGCGCTGACTGGTGCCAAGAGTCAAGGCAGTCTTGGCCATGGTTCCAACTGTGGGCAATCCGGACCAGTCGTCTTGGCTTCAGAAGCAAAGTGTCAACTGGTCGAAAAAAAAGAGGAATCCTTGAAAGTGCATGTGGGAGAGAGATTTTCTGCTGTGGGCTTTTGCCACGCGACAGAGGGGCAGGCAAGGGTGGTCATGAAGAAGCCTTAAAATATGCATGTCCATGCCGCCTCGCGCGTCGGTGATGGACGACGACAAGCGCAGCGCCTCTTCTTGCATCGTCGAAACCGGCGCCATGTTCTTTCTGCCCAAGATCTTTGCTCGTGCCGACGACGAGCCCCCCGCGTCCGGGGCGGCGTTTGCGTCCCCCAACGACAAGAATGTTGCCGACGGAAACAATGCGACGACCGTGGCGAGGACGGACTCAAGCCGCGATGATGCCTCTGTCGAAGCCCAGGCTGGTGTTTTGGAGATGGAGGCCATCTCCAAAGTATGGAGCAGAAACCACATCATCATAGCATACGTCTTGTTAGTATACCCATCAACGACATGAAAAGTGCAAAACAGGGGCTGACGCCGCCGTCACAGCATCTGGATCATCTACTTCATGGACTCGATGCACTCGAGCATGTCCTTCACGCTCACGGCCTACGTCACCAGCTCCTTTCGGCAGCACGGGCTCACGGCAACCACCAACGTCTTTGCAAACTTGATCGGAGGTCTCTTCCGGCTGCCGCTGGCCAAGATCCTCGACATCTGGGGCCGGCCGCAGGGCTTCGCACTGGTCGTCTTGTTCTTGGTCATCGGCCTAGTCATGATGGCCGCCTGCCAAAACGTCGAGACGTATGCCGCCGCACAGGTCTTTTACTGGATCGGGTTCAACGGCATCGCGTACACGCTGCAGGTCTTCATTGCCGATACCTCGGAACTGAAGAACCGAGCCTTCTTCTTCGCCTTGACGACGTCGCCGTTTCTCATCACAACGTGGGCAAGTGGCCCGGCGGCCAGCAGCTTCCTCACCGGCGCCGGCTGGAGATGGGCCTTTGGGACCTTTTGCATCGTCGTCCCCGTGGTGTGCTCCCCGATCCTCGTGCTCTTTCTGTACAACCATTTCAAGGCCAAGAAGATGGGTGCGCTGCCGGCGAGACAGCCTTCCGGAAGGACCCCCCTCCAGAGTATAAAGCACTACGCGATTCAGTTTGATGTTGTTGGGCTGCTGCTGGCCGCGGCCGGCATGGCGCTGTTCCTGCTGCCCTTCAACATCTACCAGTTCCAGGCTGAGCAGTGGGGGTCCCCCATGATCATTGCCATGCTTGTTGTCGGCGTTGTCCTTCTCGTCGTCTTTGCCCTCTACGAGAAGTACGTGGCGCCCGTGCAGTTCATCCCGTACCAGCTGCTGGTGGACAGGACCGTCATGGGCGCTTGCGTTTTGGGCGCGATTGGCTTCATCAGCTTTTACATCTGGAACGGCTTCTTCTCGTCCTTTCTCCAGGTGGTTGTCGGCCTGACGCTGACGGAAGCGACATATGTCGGGCGAACGTACAACATGGGAAGCTGCTTCTGGGCCCTGGTTGTCGGTGTCATTATTCGGTGGAGCGGCCGGTTTAAATGGCTGGCGTTTTACTTTGGCGTGCCGCTGATGATACTGGGAATTGCCCTCATGATTCAGTTCCGCCAGCCTGGCGTCGACGTTGGCTACGTCGTCATGTGCCAGGTCTTCATCGCCGTGGCGGGCGGCACTCTTGTCATTTGCGAGCAGATGGCCGTCATGGCTGCTGTCTCTCACCAGAACGTTGCGGTTGCGCTGGCAATGCTATCCATGTTTACTAGCATTGGGGGAGCCATCGGGTCCAGCGTTTCTGGAGCCATTTGGAATGGCATTTTCCCCCGTAAGGTGGCCGAATATCTGCCTCCGGATACTAAAGACCAGGCGGCCCTCATTGTTGGAAATTTGTCCAAGCAGCTGGAGTATCCGTGGGGGAGCCCGGCACGCGAGGCCATCATGGCTGCGTATGGAGATGCTCAGAGGGTTATGCTGAGTTCGGCAACTGCCTTTGTGTGCTTGAGTATAGTTGCTGTGGCGGTATGGCGCGATATCAAGGTCAAGGACTTCAACAAGGTGAAGCAAACCGATGCATAATTGAAGATGGCGACTTCCAACATGTTGAACCAAGTCTAATGATGCCGTTCATGTTTTACACTTGGGTATGGCGGCTCTAAATAACCAAATTGGGTACTAGGCTATTACGCTTTATATTATAAAATATTAATATATACTTTCTAATAAGTTCATATATTTGTATATATTAGTATATATTTTTGGAGGAATAACGTAACGTTTATGAATTAGCAATTTATTAATAGCAGCTCGCATCGCAATAAAAGTCCATGTCTGGCGCTCCCTCGAATTTACAAGAACTCCCAGTAAGCGGTTTCCCTGCATGGCGCCAGTACCAGAGGCTCAGGTGACCTACCAAAGGCAAATTGTCAAACTTCAACATCCCAGCCCCTATACTACATTCTCGGAGCCATGATGAGTACCCTTGACTACCACCGGCTTGGCCGTGGTGAACTTGGCAATGTCGCCAAAGACAGCTTCAGAGTTCTTTCCCGTCGATGCAGCCTCCCACGCAGCCAGCGATTCAAACTTCAAGATGGCTTGTATCTGATAAATCTGGTCTGGGGCGAACTGGGTAATCTCCCAGCTCTTCAGGCCCTCTCCTTTCCAAGAACTATACATGCGAAACCAAATGGTGAGTTCTGGACGCTGCGATGGGTGGTGCAAACAGATGCGGGTAACCGAGGTTGCGAAGCGCTTGCTCGGTGTCATAAAGAGGACCTGTCACTTACGCAGATACGAGGGGCATGTGGGTTTGCATGTAATACTTGATGTCGAAGTCGTGCCCCGACGGGTACAAGATGGTGATGGAAGCCATTGGTTATGTGTTGTGTGGATAACGAAGGGGGGTTCAAAGGTGTTGAGAAGCTATCATGTTGTGTCAGTCGTTGGGACCTGGGCAGTCTGCTTGAGAGCCCAATCTATTGATATTCCCTTGACCCCGTTTTCTGACATAATCATGCTGCAGAAACAGTCCAGTCAATGGCATCGATGCATGTCGTCGGAGCTTTTTCGCCCGGCATGCGGCATAATAGAGCGGCATCTTACCCCGCTCCTCGGCATCGATAAGAGAATACCCTCATCTCATCAGTTGATCAAGCCGTTCGTATTGTTAGATGAAGCGCCTTTCTTTGAGCTGACCATCTTTATGTAGTATCGTGCTCTTCATCGAGCAATTAGAGTGCCCAATTTCGCTCCTGGGTATACAAACCGTGACCGTATGGCACTGTGTGGTCCCTCTCGTCCTCGTCAGTCTACGACTCGAGTATAGCCTTGTCTCACACGAGCTCTATGCAGAGCTTTCTTTTGAATACCTCGGTAGCTAATATCTAACATCGATGTCGCCTCTAGTACATTGTACATTCATTCATCTTCCCCGCTCCAAAAATCGGACATGATGCGGCAACATCAGCAAACGGACACAGATAATCGGTACGTCCCTTGACACCCTTGCCAGTCACTGTTCACAATCGACCGGCGCCGTTTTCGCATAACTCCAATGTCCTGGGCGGAGCATTTCATTTTCACACCTGTCGCGGCCAAGCCCCAGGAATGAGATCCCTGGCGCCTCCACCACGGACTCACGGAGTGCACTGCATTCTAACTAGTAACGATGCCCGTCGGCCAAACACAAGTCAGATCTGCCCCCGTACGTGCACAAATATTCGCAAAAGGGTGTACAATGAGTAGTGATTCACTGTGAAAAGCTGCTAACATCTAAGGACCTACGAGAAGCGAGCTGGCGATCAACCGTCTCCGCGCCTGCTCTGCAAGTTGAAAACCGAGAGACGTCGTGTACCGCCCGCTGAGAGCTGAACTGGCAACATTTGGCTATGTAGAGTAACCAATACTATTGAAAGATACGTATCGAGTATAAATTCGGACGCGGGGCCCATCGTCATCCGACGTGAGTTGGACGACTACCAATAATAAAGGGGGGTGAGACACTGGGTTTGTCCGCGTCACACAAACAAGCGAGAGGTATTGAAGCCCACGGCTGATCACGGACGGCAAGATGAATTGCGCGCCCTCTTTCTCCGGACTGGGTGGCCAATTTATTGCGGGCAGAAAGAATCACAATTTTAACGCCCGGCCGTGACATGGTAGCGACAGAGTTTTGATCCATTAGTTTTGCTCAGTACCGCTCACATCATAATTACGAACATTACCCAACCCCATGGCTTGTTGTGCAGGCCAGGTACAAAAAAAAGGTGGCATCGAAACCGTTACAGCATATCCTGCCCATCTCCCCCTCGTCTTTTTGAATCTATTGTCTTTTTTATATAAGGCCTTTGTCACAGAAAATTAAATATTTCTTCACACGGCGCCCTATAGCATTTGAAACATGGCCATGAGGGCCAATGGCAAGGCAACATAGAGACCCTTGCTAGCCACCTCCAAGCCAGCAGCGGCTCCAGGAGAGGGAGTCGTTGAGGGAGCAGCACCACCGGAGGAGGTGGAAGAGCCCGTGGGCCTAGCAGTCGTCGCAGTCGAATTGCCGCCAGTAGGAGCAGAAATGCCAGTGGGAGTAGAAGTACCGGTAGGGACGCTGGTCGAGTTGCCGCCGCTCTTGCCATTGTACTTGTCGACGATGAACTGGACGATTTCGGGGCCGTAATTGCTAAAGTACTGGCCATGGACAGCCGTGTCTTCTCCTAAGTCGCAGTACACATCGCCGGTGTCGCACCAAGATGCGATTTTGCTGGCATATTTCTCGCAACTGGCGCTGTTATTGCGGGGAAATAGCTAAAGATGGCTGGTTAGAGCACTGTCTGGCGCATAGTTCTCCTCCTGAATCATAGTTGAAGTGGCGGATTGCAGATATGTAACTTACCCCGTTCTTTTTGCTAGTGCCCCTATCATAAGAGACATTGGCAATGTGGGTAGGGTCACCAAACAGAGCAACAGCGACAACTGTCCAAGTCCAACAATAAGCAATTGGCCACACAAGGAGTGATGGATGAACATACCATTATCAACGGCACTGGAAGAAATAGCATCGGTGGTCGTGAATCCCGCCTCGTCGGTTCCGCAGAGAGTATCCAAGGAGACCTGGGCACCCTGGGAGTAACCAAGAATGGCAACCTTGCCATCGGGGCAGCTCTTGTGGTAGTCCTCGAGGAGCTCAGTCAGGTTCTTGGTGCCATTGCCGACGGAGGAAGGGTATGGCGGACTTGCGAGAGTCGCTGGGTATTGGAGGCCGACTATCTTGCTGCCCTTGACCTGCTCGGCAACCTTTTTGCCAAGCAAGGTGCCGGCAACACCAATACCTTGCTCCTCACCAGTACCACGGACACTGATGATGTAGAGACCTGAGGCGCAACCCTTGGCATCATCGCCAGGATCGGTGGCTGGGATTGTTGCGCGGGCAGCGAGCAGGGCAACGGGGGCTAGAATGTGCTTCATCGTGAACGAATTCAAAAGGAATTGTTGATGATTTGTTGCGAGACCTGGGATATGATTGGGGAGCCTTGGTGTCGTATGTATGTATCCCAGCAGCTTTGCCCTCAATTCACTTCAGAGTAAAGGAGCGAGTCGAAGGAGGGGGGAAGTGAAGGAGGAGAGAGGGCAGGCCATAAATGGGGTGGACCTAGATCCTCAAAAAGGGATTGACATGAGAGCTTCATGGCCGGCCAGGATGAGCGACGTAAGCTGGGCATGCCGGGAAGCGTAACAACTCGTTTCAAGTCCGAGTTCGACTAGCTCCAAATCCTAGAGCCCACGCCGGCCAGTTCGGGATGGGCTTAAGGGTCAACTGTACGAGTCGAGTTGTCTAGCCCGTTCTGTGCAGGCTCCTCGGGGATGCCCTGAGTAGCGTGTGCAGTGGCGGGTTGCGGGCTGCGGGTTTAGCGCCATCTGCTCCACCAGCTCCGTCTGCATGCAAGTGTGGCCAAAAAGCGCCGCCCCGTTGTTGGCATTTCGTCTTGTCGTGATCTAGAAGGCAATTGGAGGTGCGGCCTCAGGAACTGCATGCCGTGCGACACATTAGCAATCTCTCAAGATTAGAAATGACGAACTGGACAACTCTTACTTCACTTCATATCGATGGACCATGTGTCAGAACGGAGTGAGACGCGGGATATGCGACCGGTAGGTTGGCCGTCGGTTGGTTTGACAGTTCCATGCTCCCCAGCGTCACGCAAGATCCCCCATCCCAGACCCCAGCCAGGAACGGAGAGAACAGGGGTCAAGATGGAACGGATGCCACTCTGGCGGTCGCTTCCCAAAATGGCGCCACAAATCGAAGGTCTTTGGAGCCTGGCACCAAGGTCGAATTGTACAATAACAACGACATCTGAATTCCCTGCTGATGACGGCCAGGTCCTGCCTGCAAGACGAAGAAGACGAACTATTGCAAGGGAGCCAGATGAGAGGAAATGAGTTCACAAATGACGGCCATGGGCACAGGGCGTCGAACTCGCGGGGAAGGCGCATTGCCGTTCTTGCCGATGTGTATCATTTTCCGTTGACTGCCCTACGGATGCTTACTTCGGGGTACAAGGTACCTAGGTAGTTGTCCAAGTTGAGGAGACTTGACCTCCAATCTTCTATGCCCAAATACTCAAATACGTACATACGCACCAGGCGCCACTACTCCAAGCTCCTGAAAGAATCGAACAATTACGGAGCACTACTGGCAACGAAAATGCAGGCGTTGCTCGTCCCAACATGCGAAGCACCCCGCCGCTAGTGATGCGAGGCATCTCATGGTGGCGGCCATGTCTTGGAGCTCGAGCCATTGCCGTCGCCTTCTTCCAAAGTGCCACCCATGCACGGCGCGACCATTCTTTCGAATCCCTTGTCGAGACTGGTCGTAAAATCAAATTGCAGAACCCGTGTCCAAGGTCGGGTTCAATTGCCTTGTTCCACTCCCAAGGTGAGAGTATCCAGGCCACAAAATCCTCACACACCAGACACATCGAGGCGGCGGAGGGTTAGGGCTTCACGGCAAACCAAACCCACAGAAGTCCCCGAACCCTGGGAAATGTGGCACGCTGCCCCTGGCCATTTTTTGCACATTGTACGTGGAAAAGCCACCCAGGCGGCAGCTCGGCAACTTGATCCCGACCGACGCCAAAAGCCCATTGTTCTACATTGAGATCCAGCCCCAAACCAGCCCTGTGGCACCAGATTCCCCATGGGGTCGGCGAGGAAAGTGTCTGGGAGAGTTGCTACACGGCGAGCTACACAGTCATGTTGCTGCAAAGCTCACTACTGGACAAGACTTCCACCGTTTCCCTGTCAAGTCCTAGGCTTACCAAGTATAGAGGCACCATTTGGATCAATGTTGCTTGCATTAAATACGAGCACGCACTACCGACCCCCAGCGCACTGCTGGCAAAGAAATACTATGAACATTAGCCTCCTCCATTATTTCGATTTCGTATATGCTGGCGAGATGAGGACGCTGCTTTCAGGACCGGGTTGATGGACTGGGAATTATCAATTTGACTCGGATTCTGACGCAGCATCCGTATCACAAACTTGTCCACTCCAGCTCTGAGAACTTCTGATGCCAACCGCGCTGATGGATCGCTTTGTGGACGCGACATGAGGGTCTCGGTTTTCTCGCATCATTCACCGATTGGCGTGGCTGCCGACTTTGAATGCGAAATCCAGGTCTTCGTTCAAGACATGGTCCGCGTATTGAGTGGCCTGCTGTGTTATTTCAGCACACAGCCCGAGGCCTGATCTTTGTCAACGCCGCATACGCCCTCCATGTTGAAAGGATGGTCATAAAATCAGGATTAGTCTTCTTCTTCAAATGTTCGCTCGTTTTTCTACGACACAGGAAATCACGGACTGTTCAATGAAGAAATTCGACAAAATCACTTGACTTGATCGCCAAGACACCCCCACATCCGGAATCCATTGCATTCCGCCCTCAGACGTCGGTATCGCCCTTTTGAATATTGGCCACATGGTTGATTGAGATCATAATCCGGGTCATTATCCACAAACTCGAGCATGGTGTACGTCAAGAAATGAAGTGGCTTCTTCGCCTCAGCTGCTATTCGAAGGGCTTGGCCCATCTTTTCCGAATAGACATTTTCTCCAGCATCTAATATGCAATGGGGAAAACTTTTTATGTCAGATGGGTAAATCCAGTAAGGTATCACCGCTTGTCAATCATCGCTCAACAACGTCGTTACCGGGAAACCCGCAGAGAGACAAGTTGGGCTACTTTTGCTATTTCATCAATGAACGCGCGCGTCTCGTTGGATTTGAGACGATTGTAGCTCGTAGGCGGTTGCTCCATCAGACAGCTTATCATAAATATTTTGCTCTCTGTGGGCAACCTTGTGTCAACAAAGTTTTGAAACGGGACGTGTCTTGGTCAATTAACGTCTTGGAGACATGCTAGGGATGGCTGGCCAAGCAGGGCAGACGGGGAATATTCCGTACAATAGAACACGAAGTGGCCATTCTTCGGGCAAACGCGCCGGTATGCCTGGGCTCCAGATGTAATCGATCGCTGGGACCAGTCTCTTCGGCCGAGTCCCCTCTTCCAGAAATGTTCTTGTATAGTCATGAACCGCCACACATTTCATCCAGGTTGCTTTGCTAGATTCAGAAGAACTCGTTGCCATGCCGTGGCCAGGTGGAATACTAGGGCTCGGCTTCGTCATCCGATGCACTGTCATTGTGAAACCCCGATGGCACGTTTAGTGCCCTCTGGAGGGCTCTTCCATATGTCTGTGGATTACTGTTGTGACGAACTGGTCGGCTTGCGAAGCCAATTTTCCTGAGTATGAAATCCTCCTTGGCGACATAGTCAGAACAATGGCTGACGCACCTTTCAGTTCGGGATTGACTTGTTCTTGCGCAAACGTGGCTGCTGATTTTAATGTCATGATTCCGGAATCATGGCCAGATTCCTGAAGTTCTGAGATAATCATTGCTTATGATCGCTCAGATTCTCGGCAATCTAGTTCAAGCTCAAAGAATGACCAACGCTCAAGTTGTACCTTTCCCGTCTGACCTTTGCAACTATTGGCTGATCATGTTGCTGAGTACTGTGTCAATGATCTATTTTTATGGGTAGTTGTCGTGACTGACGTTCATACTTTAGGATTGGAAAGAAATGGGACAGGGTTGCGGTCGGGAATCGGTCAATACATGACTTGATATCTGTAATCTTCCTGCCATCCACTATTGTCTTTAACGCGGCTATGAAGCTCTGGAAGCCTCGCCATCGGCCTTCATTAACCTTGACATTTGTAAGAGTCTCAAGAACTTCGTTACGAATAAACTTGCAATTGGCCGCTCAGATTGTCACGACAGCCATGTGTAGTGCCAGAGTTCCCTCCTATTCGGTGGCCACAACATGTTGCAACTTTAACCTAAAGCAACTGGGATCCTCATAGATCCTTTTCAGTCACAGTCCTCCTGGTTGCTGCCTCACGAAAACAAATAGATAAATTAGCTCAATCAACCACGACCTTGAAATTGTGGTGCTCGTATGCCTTCAGCAACTCTTGCTTTGTTTCCTTGCCTGCCCGGTAGGTGAACCAGTGGCATCTCCCGCACAGCTCTGATACAATGTAGCAATGCACGGATTGTCTCTATCCCTTGTTTCTATTGCAATTTTTCTATTGCTAATTGCACTATTTTCTTGCGTCAGGGTTGTCGGATACCATGCCACCTCGGAATACACTTCGTTTGTCCAAGATGCAGTGACCCAACAACTAAAAGGCGTTTGCTCACTGACCCAAGCTCCGATCAATGGAGGCCATATGGTCCATGTCGCCCAATAAAAATGGCCTATAGACATCCATTTACTCCGTAAGCGAAATGGCAAATTTATTCTCTAGATATCTTGCGCAACACATTGTAACGCATCATCTAGTTAGCACCCACATGCACAGCTGAACAAGTACGAGTCTTGACGGCAACGACATGGCCGTACGAACAATGCGGAACTTGAAATGCGCAAATTCGTTCAAACTATCAGTCCACGTTCCGAGGCGGCAAAAGTTCTTTCCTCCAGAAGCACACAATCCATAGAGTCGGGGCCCGACGACGCCGGGTCCGAAAAGCAAAAAAAAAGCAAAGGAACCGAGCCCCGAAATTTCTACTTTGCCATCATGTGGAACTCGGACTCTAAAGATCCATTACACTATGTGCACATTTGAGGACGCTAAACTACAACAGGAAGCCAAGACTCAAGCTGTACTCCATCGTTGTTAGTTGCCAGTGATGCCATTAAAGCCAATTAGTTCGCCCGAGAGTTGGGGTAAACCAACTCCCATGCCGGTTTAGTTGGTGGGTTCCTTTTAACGGCAAAAACATGATAATCAGTGACGTTCTTTGACCGCAAGTTTTTTTCTGGTTTCACCTGCTCCATAACTAGGTTGTGCTGTATTGCCCAAATTCGGTGCGAGTTGACTGATTTATAACATCCAAGTGCTTGATAAGCTTGGGTTCCAGATCGGGCAGCCAAGACGTAATTCTTGCCATTCTCTTTTGTTGGACACCTTGATTGCTAATGCTCCTGTGTTGGGGGGGTTTCCGTTTTTGTCGTTTGTCCGGGTTTCCGCATCGGCAACTCTGACTCAATATTCAGTGGTCCATTTGTGGATTCACGAGCCACGGATGTGTATACATACATAAGAAACTTAACCAAGGAGGTGCCGTTTGAGGAAATCGTCTCTCTTTTTTTTTTTTTTGGTTCACTCACCGACATGATTAGGGTTCTAGTATTGGCCATCGCACCATCTTTACGGACAAACGAGACACCGGTCTATCAAGGCGCCGAGGACACAGTATGACGACGCCAACAGCAACGTTGGCACCCGCGTCGCAGGCTCGGCAGGATTCGATGCCTCCGATGTCTATCACCAACGACACGGCGGAGAAGGGACCTTCGTCGGGCCATGATGGCAAAGGCTCTGAGTACTTTGACCAGGCGACCATCGAGCGTCTGGGCCGTCAGCGTCCGGAGGCGCTGTCCAACTGGCTCGCCGAGTCCTTCTTCGTCTTCACCATTGTCATGTCCATGATGATGAGCGAATACTTCATCGGCGGCTTCAACATTGTGCTGCCGCCCATCGCTGACGCCCTCGAGATTCCCGCCTCATCGCGGACTTGGCCTGCCGGAGTGACGAATCTCACAACCGCCGCCCTCCTCCTGCCGTTTGCCCGCCTCTGCGACCTGTACGGCGGCAGGGTCGTCTTCCTCTGCGGACACATGTGGCTCCTCACATGGTCTCTTGTCAGCGGCTTTAGCCAAAACACCACGATGCTTATTGTGTGCCGGGCCATGCAGGGCATCGGCTCCGCGGCCTTCCTCCCCGCCGGCCTGGCCATCCTCAGCCAGACATACCGGCCCGGCCCGCGCAAGAACTTTGTCTTTGCCATCTACGGCGCCTTTGCTTGTATTGGTTTCTACTTTGGCATTTTTGTCGGTGCCCTGACGGCCGAGTACCTCGACTGGCGCTGGTACTTTTGGATCGGCGCCATTGTCGGCCTGGCCGTTGGGATTTCTGGGTCGATTAGCATCCCCAGGCACTTGGATGATGTGAATCCTAATGCTAGGATGGACTGGCTTGGCGTCGTTACTATTGTTCCCGCCCTGGTTCTTATTGTCTTTGCCTTTACTGATGGCGGACACGCCCCGGATGGGTGGAAGACGCCGTACATTTACGTCACCCTGGTTCTCGGCATCCTCTTCCTTGCTGTCGCCGTGTATGTCCAGGGCTGGGTCTCGGCTCAGCCTTTGTTGCCTGCCGATTTGTTCAAGTCCAGGTACATGAAGCGGTTGATGACGGCGCTGTTCTTGTCGTATGGCGTATTTGGCCTGTATCTGTTCTACGCCAGTTTCTAGTAAGCACTGATTTTTTGCCAGATTATCCTTCTTTTACAGCCATAATCTGACCTGATTGATTACTAGTATTGAGACTGTCATGCACACAAAGCCAATCCTTACTGCCGCTTGGTTCACGCCCCTCGCGGTCGGTGGCATGGTGTTGGCCATTGCAGGCGGCCTCGTTCTGCACATCATCTCCAACCAGATCCTCATGATCATCTCTTCTCTGGGTTTCATCCTGTCAGTTCTCCTGTTCGCGCTTATTCCGGACCCAGCTACGTCCGGCAAGTCCACCAGCTTCACTTACTGGGCGTACATCTTCCCGGCCATGATTGCCGGCACCATCGGCGTGGACATTACCTTCAACGTCACCAACGTCTTCATCACCACTGCTATGCCGCGCCGACATCAAGCCGCTGCAGGGGGCTTGATCAACAGTCTGCTGTATCTAGGTATTGCATTCTGGCTTGGCATCGGGGAGCTGGCCGTGTCGGCAACGGTGCAGAGCAGGGGCGGCCACGAGAAGGTCGACGCGCGTGAACAGTACCGGATTGGGTTCTGGACGGCGCTCGGCTTGGCCATTGTGTCCTTGGGCCTTGTACTCACCATCAAGATGGGATCCGCCGAAGCCAGTATGACGGCAGACGAGAAGGCCGAGATGGAGTCGAGACTGCAGTCGCGACAGCAGTCACAGATGCAGCTGGAGGAGCAGCCGCCACAGGCACAAGCACAGCAGCAGCAGTCATGAGCCTTTCCAAGTGCCAACGCAATTTTCTGTATTTATGTAGCCTATCCTGTTTGGACAAAGTGTCACTTGCAAGCGGTTCAGCCTTTTTCGTTTTCGCATACACTGTTGCATTTTACAAGGCGAGAGTTTTATGGGTAGATATGGGACAATGGGCATATTTCATATAGACGATTTAATGACATAGAATTCTTCTACACTTGTAGACCTTGTTTCACATGATTGGTTCACGTGTGGTTGTGCGACACAGCTCAGTAAGACAAGCCGAGGACCGAAGCCGACGCCGACGCCGTGTGACCGGACATCCCCTGCCGTCTTGGCTCCGCCCTGGCCCGTCTTGGCCGGGTCCACTCGTACTGTTCCCAACTTCATCCTGCCTCAGACCTGTCTGGTGCCTCATAAGACAAGAGGTGGAAACCACGCGACTACCAGACCTGTAGATTAGGATACAGAAGCTTCTTACTCTCCATTCATGGTCTTTCTACAAAGCTAGCTGTTTTCCTAGGGAACACTACCAGTCGATTGTCCTGGGTAGGGTACGAGGCACTTATAAGCCTCATCCCCCTCCCACCGTCATCGTAGGAGTACACCGGACCATAGTGACGATAAGCCGTGAAGCCCATCAGCCAGGCAAATTCCACAATCCCGGTTTCCACCATGTCCAAGGAACCACATCATGCCATGCCGAACCGCGAATCCTTCACCACCAAAGACATCATCCACGACATATGGACGGCCACTGGTCTGCCCCCAGAGGCACTCACAGCCCTCGACCTCCCAGGCGCAGACGCCAGCCCAGCCCTCCCATCATCTTTCAAAATCGGCCCTCTGGCACAAGCATCAATTGCCCTGTCCGCCCTCGCCGCGCGCCTCCTCCGCTCCACCAGGGTCGACGACAGCGCCCTGCCCACAGTCCGCGTGCCCGCCGCCCACGCGGCCATCGAGTTCAAATCCAACAGCCTATACACGCTCCGCAGAAACGAGACCCCCCTCCCGCCGTACACGCACAACCCCATCGGCGGGCTGCACAAGACGTCGGACGGGCACGTACGCATCCACGACGTCTTCCCACATCACGTCCAAGGAACGCTGAAGCTGCTCGGGCTGCCAGCGGACGCGGCCAGGCACCACGTCGCAGGTAAAGTCGCGCGGTGGCGCAAGACGGACCTGGAAGAAGAGGGCACGGAAAGAGGCAAGGTGGCCATCTATGCGCTGCGGTCGTACGAGGAGTGGGATGCGCTCCCGCAGTCCGGGGCCGTGGACGCTCGTCCGGTTCTGCTCGAGCCCATTGGGGGCGGCAGCTCGACGCCAAAGCCCATGGCTCCCCTTGCCGAGGGAGGCAAGAGGTGTCTTTCCGGGCTGAGGGTCGTCGAGCTCACGCGCGTCATTGCCGGTCCCGTGTCTGGCAAAACTCTTGCCGCTCATGGTGCGGACGTGCTGTGGGTGACGGCGCCGGGTCTGCCGGCCTTGCCGATGTTGGATATCGATCTGAGCAGGGGGAAGCGCAACATTCAGCTCGACATTCACAGAGCGCAGGATAAGGAGCGGTTGATGGACCTGCTCAGGAATTGCGACGTCTTTATTCAGGGGTACAGACCCCAGAGTCTGGCCTCGCGCGGGCTGTCGCCAGAGGAACTTGTCAAGATCAACCCGAATATTGTTTGTGCCAACATGTCGGCATTTGGCCCTACTGGTCCGTGGTCTCACCGTAGAGGCTTTGACAGTCTTGTCCAGGCTGCCTCGGGGATGAATATCTCTGAAGCCGACAAGGCTGGCCAGGGAGAAGCATCCAGGGTTCTTCCGTGCCAGGCTCTGGATCACGCAAGTGGGTATCTGCTCGCTACGGGCATCATGGCTGCCGTTTACCGTCGGGCTGCACTCGGTGGTGCGTGGCAGGTTGATGTGTCATTGGCCGGGACGATGAAATATCTACGCAGCCTGGGTCAATATCCCGGTGCAACTGGATTTGCCGTTGGCGACTATTTAAAAGGCGAGAGTATTCCCGCGGAGACACTGGTGACGACGGAGACAGCATGGGGTACCTTGACAGCCGTGCGGCATAGTGCCGAAATTGAGGGCTGCGAAGTGAGCTGGGACTTGATGCCCTGTCCACCCGAAAACAATAACGCAGTCTGGAACTCATAAGAGACGGGGATATCGCGTGTAAACCTCGGTGCGTGCCATCCTTTGAGAAATTTCGTTGGCACACGGAGGGGAATGTCAGTATAGTCTTCGATTCTTGAAACACACCACTTGATACCTGTCGACAACTTTAAAGTGCACGTAGGTCAGGCGCGAGCAAGTCGCCGTAATAAGTGGACCTCAAATAACTCCTGTCATTACTCCATCTTGCTCCGTTCGTTTTCGAGAGCGTGCACATGCTACATACATCTGGCGGCTGCCTAACTTCGCCAGTAGCACACCAACTTTGTTGCTTTTCAAGGGATAACATGTCCCCAACACACGCGCCAAAGACCGTGTCAAATTCACAAGAAGAAAACTCCGCCAGTGGTCGATATGATGATAATCCAACAACAAAAGACATGAGAACAAGAAATATGTGGATATGTACTTGGGATGCCTGCGCAACGTTCAGGCCATTCAGGTTGGAATCGCCTTATGGCCCTAGTGGCGCGGCTTAACCGTGCAAACCACCAGTTCTCTGTCGCATCAGGTCTCGTCGCTCCTTATCTTTCTCTGTAGCACAAAGTTCATTAGTATAAGCGAACATGCTTAAAACCAAAAGAAGGGTTGAAGAGCTACTCACCCCCATCGAATACAAGGAACTCATGTAGAGCAGAGCCAGCAGGCACCATTGGCAGAACGGGCACCTTCTTGTCAGTGACAACTTCCAAAAGAGCAGGGCCTTCGGAGTCGATCAGCCACTTGAGGGCATCCACAGTCTCGGCAGGGTCAACCAGACGGCGAGACTGGACGTGCATTGACTCGGCCAGCTTCACGAAATCAGGGTTAACCTGGTGAGTGTGGGCGTAGCGATCCTCATAAAAGAGGTTCTGCCACTGGGTGACCATGCCCTGTTCTTCATTATTCAGGACGATAACCTTAACACCAATATTAAACTGCGCGGCGGTGGCCAGCTCAGTCAGAGTCATGCCGAAGGAGGCGTCACCATCAATATCAATAACAAGAGCCTCAGGCTGGGCGACCTTGGCGCCAATGGCAGCAGGCAAACCAAAGCCCATTGTTCCCAGACCTCCTGAGGTAATCATAGTCCGAGGATGTCTCCACCGGAAGTGCTGTGCAGTCCACATCTGATGTTGACCGACACCGGTGGCAATGTAAGTCTTGTGCTTGCGATCAGCCGTCAGATTGCTCAACTCTTCAATAAGGGTCTGAGGCTTGATAAGCCCATTACGCTCTGATCTGTCGTAGTGAGACAGCGGCCACTTCTTCTTCCACTCGTTGATCTTGTCAAACCAGGCCTTGCGATCCTCCATAGATCGAGGCTCGACCTCGGGCAAAAGAAGCTTTATGCTAGCGGCTACATCGCCTTCGATAGCCTCTGTAGCTTGGACAACCTTATTGATGTTCTTGGGCATAATCTCAAAGTGAACAATACCGCCACGCTTCTGGGCGGCAGCAGCCTTGGCTCCAGGAGCAAACTTGGCAATATTTCCCGTAACCCGATCATCAAAGCGACCGCCCAAGGCAATGATCAAATCGGCCTCTTGCATAGCCATATTAGCGTAAGCAGAACCGTGCATGCCCAGCATATGCAGAGCCTTTTCGTTAAGCTCATCATAGCCACCCAGACCGTGGAGGGTAGTAGTAACAGGAATAGAGCACTTCTCGGACAGTTCCCTTAAAAACTCGGGACCATTCTCGGACTGGACGATACCCTGGCCTGCATAAATGACGGGCTGCTTAGAAATGTTAACGAGCTCGGCGACACGCTTGATAGAAGCTTGTAACTGTTTATGACTGTGCTCCATGGCGGCTCGTGACGCGGCGCTGGGCAGAGAGGGGAGGGCCGTCTCGGTAGGGATGGCCTTTCTTAGAATACCGGCAGTAACGTCTTTGGGCAAATCGACAAGGACGGGACCGGGCCGGCCAGATGTGGCGATTTCGAAAGCTTCGTTGATTCGGCGAGGCAACTCGGCAACGTTCTTAACCATAACATTCCACTTCGTACAGGCCCGAGAAATTCCCACAACATCGGCCTCCTGGAATGCATCGCTTCCAATGGCGGTGGTGGGAACCTGCCCGCAAAAGACAACCAGAGGCGTTCCATCAGAAAGGGCATCCTGCAAAGGGGTGATGACATTAGTGGCACCGGGTCCCGAGGTTACAAGGACGACACCAGGCTTGCCAGAAGCACGAGCATAGCCCTCAGCCATATGACCCGCACCTTGTTCGTGTCTAGGCAAGATGAAATCAAAGTGTTTTGAATTATAGATGGCATCGAAAACGGGCAGAATGGCACCGCCAGGGTATCCAACTATACAAGCGGAGTGACTCATGTTAGTAGAGCATAGGCATATTAAGTGCAAGTGCAAGTTGACAAGGAGGGATATCAACGTACAAATGTGCTTGACACCTTGTCTCAACATCATCTCGTGGAAAATTTCGCCTCCCGTTTTGCCAATAAATCTGCAGATGTAAGAATTTCGCTATGAGCCCATGTGCACTGGTCTTGGAATTGTGCGCCAGTAGCAACAATTGCGGGTTGTACGTACGACTCATCCATGTCATTTTTGGGCTGGTTCGCCAATGGCTGAACATGACTCTGATCGGCTGCGTTGAAGGCAGGACTTGGCACGGCGCGTACACGACTGTTGGGAGTTGTCGTGGTCAGCTCAAAATGGTCCAATGCAAAGATGTGGCCGATGCCGGCGGGGAGGCACATGATGACCAGGGAATACACTCACGGAGCAGAAGACGTGGCCGTCGCAGCGGTGGCTTGATTTCTTTGCCCAGAAGGAATCTTTTTTGAGGCTTTGAGGGCGGCAGGAGAAGTGGTAGAGGTGAAGGATCGTGTTTGGCTGACGGCTCTCAAGGCCTTTGAGGCCTGGCGACTTCGGAGCATGGCGAATTGGTGGAGACCAGCTTGAAGCTCTGGTCACGCGAAAATATGCAAGATTGGTCCAATGCTAACGACTGCTTACCCGGCTCAATAAGTTGAGAGGGAAGAGTGACCTCGCTGGCGAAGATATTTCACCGCAGGCAAGAAGTTGGACCGCAGCGTGGAACGGAATGGCAGTTCGAAGACGGCGATGTGGAAGGATGGTGGGAAAGGAAAAAAATGTGGGAAGGAGGCAAAAGAGAAGACTTGGCCACGACCAGTCAGACGATTTGGTGGCACCGGGCGGAAGGGCGGGGGGAGCGACTGAGCTTGGGCCGGCCTTGAGTCACCGACTTAGCGCGTCAAAGTTGAGGACAATAGCGGATGGTCGGGCGCTGGAGCAGAGTCTGGTGCATGTGGGCACTGGCGTGAACCGGTTCCCGGCGTCCTTCTCGAGGCCCTTAACGGCGGCATTGAACCCAACAGATCAATTAATATCTGCTTCAATGTTCAATGCCCGAGTCCAAATCCCTGTCGCATTGCCTTTGCTTCAAGTACCACGCACGCTGTCAATACCTCCCGGATGATTCACAGTCGCGCGCGATCGGAGCAGCGACACCTTGTCCCATGTGCCGAGTCTGCAAGTCGCTGAAAGTCCACGCTACCCCGGCCGCCACTTTTGGCTTGCCCCCGGTGCCGTCACCATCACAAGCCAGTACAACGACCATCATGTCCTGCCGAACAGTCGAGCTTCGACAGGCCAGCAGATGCGAGCCCTGAGACAGCCAGCCATGCGGGGTTCGTTGCCTGACGGGTATTTTGGGCTGGCGATGTCTGGAAGCTTAACGTTGGCTTTTTCGGAAGTGTCTATGACCAAAGTCCAGGTGGCTTTGCTTAGTTGCACTATGTGCCCAATACTTTTCCACAGAGAGATCTAGCAACAGCCGAGGCAAACATTGAAGTATTAGGCGCCCAGATGCAACATTGGAACCGCCGTTAGCTTGTAGTGGTCCAAATTCCACATCAATGCAGCCTGTTGTACAAAAACGACCAAGGGCATCATGTATGTACGTCTACCTAGTAGACAGTCACCAAGGGACGTGTCTTAGAATTCTCGTCTCCTCCGCTTTCGCTTGTCTGGCTCCGATACACAAGGGCTATCCACTGCCGTGCAGCTACTACTGCCGTGCTCCATACCTTGTACTCCGTAGAATGCACGTCGATTTGCAATAGTTCTGCGGCAGGAGATGATTGATTATACATTCGCGCTCCATCCAATCATACTGGGTCCGCTCGTCATCTGCTTGTCAGCCAGGTAACTTGCAGAGCGTCTCAATTTTGTGCGCTTCAATCAGTACTTGGTAGAATGGCCAGGCCAACTTCTTATTACAGTCTCGCATCACCATGAAATAGACCGAGCCATACTAAATTAGCCAAGTAACCCCATCATCAGTGGCATATATTCTTTTATGCTTTACTTTGCGAAGTGATAGCTGAGGAAATCTCCTATTTTTTGTTCCTCATCAAACAACCAACGTCGCTGCTCTTGTTGCGGTCTCGGCCGCTTGGTGACCCACTTTCGCTGCGATCTCGGGCTCCTCTGCGCTGTAAGTGCATCTTAGCAGCTCACCCCCGAAAGTTGTGAAGGTTGGGTATAATGCTGACCCAAGAGATTCAAAGTACGTCCAGCAAAATCGTAATGAATTCTACACAATATTCTGTACTCTGTATGCAACGTGAAGTTTAGTATGTCCACTTGCCCGTCTCGTGCACAAGTACACAGGGCTTGACATCAAAAGTGAAAGGCACGCGTTCATGTCAATACCAAGTAAACAACAAAAAATATGGCGTGATATTCACATGTGTTGCGACCAAAGTGGTTCTTCTAATGCTATTCTTCATAGACATTTAGGTCGGTCAGTGTATACCCTGTGAGTCATTATCGATCGCTGTCCATTCGCCGTAATACAAGGGCACCTTATGGCCTCAGCCACCATTGAAATGTGAGTGTTTCCTCCTGCCCCGTCCTACAGCCCCTATCGCTGTTTCAATTGGTATCTTCGCTATATCCCTAACGTTGACGTCTCGCGTCCAGGCCCATGACCGAAGGATCATCATGGTA